TCCACAGTTATATATATTTAGAGAGAACATGACAGACACAGAACAGAGGTCTGTAATGTTTATTTGATTGAAATAATAATGATATGATTGTCATATAGGTCAGTGCTGTAGATACAGGTGAGATGTCTTTACTGTCTATTTGATTCATATAAATACTGACTATAAATGTCTGACTGTAATTATTACTGTACGGATAATAATAATAATATTTTCTGTTCCACCAAATGTTTGACAATCCTCCCGACACCAGCAGAATGATGTGTGATTTTCTGAAAAACAATAGCGCCACCATGTGGTCAGTTATTAAGCATCATACGTTTTTGCTAATAAATATTTTTGAGCAGGGGGTTCCTTGGATGATGCCATTTTTACTGCTGTAGGCCACGCCCATTTGCACTTTAAAAACATTACATCATTTTGGATTTAGCTGGGACTGGGATTTTTTTTATATAATATTTTGTTGTTTTTGTATATTTATTAACTTTATTCGACTTGTGTGTTTGGGACCAGTCAAGTTATACTTATATTTAGAAAAAACTTTACATGACATGAGCTTGGTGTCCTGTTTAACTGAATTATTATGACTGTTATCATCATTGTCATTATTATAGTTAGTCATATTTCTACCATTATAGTTTTGTTGTTACAGTTTTTTTTACTTTCTTACTTTCTTACTACTTTGTTCACGTCGCCTAAATACTTTTTTGGCGTTTTTGAGCACTTTTTATATTTTGTTTGCAGGGGTCTCCATGGCGACGGCGAGTCGCATTGTTTACACCCGCGACCAGATGATCGTCCCGAGGTACCCGAGCATCCTGACTGTACAGCACTTTGGTCAACTTTGGTTGTTTTTAAAGTGCTTAACAAATAAAGTTGGATTGGATTGTTGCTATTGTTATTGCTGTCTATCTCTGTCTCTGTCTTTCGCACCCTAAGAAAACAGATTTAAAAAAGTTTCAGGAACTTGACAAACTGCAGCCTAACTTCTACTTTTGTGGTTTTCTGCAGGAAGCTGAAGTGACACTGCAGTTAAGATGATGCAACAACCACCAGTGAAACAAAAAAAACAACATTTGAAATAACCAAAACCAACACTGAAACCAGAAAAAGTACCATTGAAATGACAAAAATCTGATTCCTAAGTAAAGATACATTAAAAATGGGAACTGTTGGGTCTCTGAAAATAATTTTGAAAGGCAGTAAAGTCTAGACCTGCTCTGTATTTAAAGTGCCCTGAGATAAACTTTTGTCTTCATTAGGCGCTATACAAATAATTGAGTTGAATTAAGAATAAATACAAAACTGCTACATTTTGCCTAAACATAGTGCACTTTTGTTTTGCTTTTAAGTTCTAGGAATTAAAAAAAACCCTCAAAAACATTTCCAAAGTGGAACAAAATGTGTAGAAATGTTACAAAAAATAAAAACAAATGTAGTAATACTGCGGCTACCAATGCTGCTATTAACACTAACTCCTTATAATTCATATATTTTGTCATTTGTAATTCGCACACACCGAGGTTCTACATCTTTCTTGTACTTTTACTTTCTCTATGTTGCAGATGCAGACGCTTCTTCCAAAGAGATGTGAAGGCTGAATACCAGGCAGGCAGCAGCATCCTGGATCAGCTGCAGAGGTCTGACCTACATCATCACTGTAATCCTATTTCAAAGACTCTTTCACGTGTGGCCAACAAATGCTGCCATTTGTTCCCAAATTTGGAGGATCTACTGGCTGGATCCTTTGCGACCTATTCCAAGATGCATTATGTGCCACTGATGAAAAAAGGAAATCTCCATTAACATCGACTGAGCCCCAAGTTCTCCTCCATCAATTTCTTCTATCACGTTTAATTGAAAAAGCGGTTTAAAAACAGGCACACAAAGGGTACAGCATACTGTCGTTAAAAACTGAGTACAATTAGCTGATAATGATCCTGATCAATAATCAACACTCCCATTATTAAAGCATCAATCAACCTGATCAGCCTTCAGCAGTTAGCTAGTGTTTCTGTAGTGGAGACTAAACGTTAACAATGATCCATATCAGCAGTTTGAATCCAACTAAAAGCTCCCTGCACCAAACTCCCTTTAAGAAATATCACATTTTAACAATTCCTAATGTGTTCGTAACAACAGCAAACACGAGCTGACAGCTAATAAAATGTTTGATTGAGTCCATTTGACAATAATAATAAGTCATAGAGGTCAAGACAAATACATGGCAGATGTCTGCACTGTTTATTGGATTGATATGTAACTAATGATTGTTGTATATATATATTACTGACTGTCTTTGTCAAAACAAGTGAAGCTGTGTCTTATCTCAGCTCCAGCTATAATAATAAATAAATAAAGAGAATATTGTCAGCAGGTTATCACTTATTATTTCAATGTGTTTTAGTCTCCTATAAATTGACAACAAAAAACACAATGCAGGTTTAGATTTTTGTTTTCTTTTAATCAAATATAGAAATTACATTACACATTATATGACACATGGCTGTGATTGAAGCTGTCTGATCTCTGCTGCCATCTGGTGTTTGAGCAGCAGATTACACTCAGTGACTGATTAACGTTGCTCTGGTCATTTGTTCAAAGACATCAAATGAAATATGTTTACAGTTTCCTGACAAACACATATTTATATAATCCTAACCGCAACTTCCCCATAAATACAGTTCAATCAAGAAATGACGAAGCATGATGCAGACTGTCTGTCAGGTTGCTTCCACAGTGAAAATAAATGCTTTCAAAGTCAATAACGAGTAATATTACGTCTGTTTCTGGTTAAACAAAAGGTCTATCTCTGCGGGGATCCTTTCCATAGTCTTTGCACAGCCGTACATTTTATATAACCTTTAAACCAAGAACAAATATATTACCAAGTGATACATCAGAAAGAAATCATTCTAAATGTTCAGAAATCACAATCTGTGGGGGTCGTCTCTGCTGTGGCCTCTGGTTGTGTTGCTGGGGGGCCGGATTGGTACGGTGGCCGACAAGGGCAAATGCGCCGCAAACGGCAAAACGCTGCAAACAGCAAAACGCTGCAAACAAGGGAATGATGCAAAACCAAAAACACACAAACACATAAAACAAATGCAACAGAAAAATGCTGCAACCGAAAAATGCTGCAATCACAGAAACGAAGCAGAAGCAAAAACTAACAAACCCACAAAACAAATGCCAAAGAAATGCTGCAAATTCACTTCACAAAACGGAAGTGCACCAGGCCACTAGGTGGACCCCGACCTGAGGGATGGACCAGTCCTGTGAGACCAGATCTGAAAGACATGAAGAAGAAGCAGAAGAAAAAGAAGAAGAAGAAGAAGAAGAAGAAGAAGAAGAAGAAGAAGAAAGTTGGCTAAATTTTGGAGAGGACAGTAAAAAGGTACGTTTTCCTTTATCTTTTTTAAACACTTGGCCGTAATCTTTTAATAATAGTAATATTACAATTATAATTATATTATTTTAATATAATAATATAATATTATAGAAGAATATTATGATAATATTATAATAATTATAATATTCTTCTGTAATATTATAATTATATTATAATTACGGTGGCCCAGAGGTGTCAGGCCAAATACAAAAGCCACAACGGAAGTGACCTGGAACGGAAGTGAACGGTAACGGATGTTGACAATGAGGCAGATTTTTGCTAGCGGACTATCTCTCTATAAAAGCAAGAAATCTCTGTCTGTCTGTCTGTCTGTCTGTCTGTGTGTGTGTGTGTGTGTGCCTCAAATATCTCTGCAGATCAGGATCAGACTGACCTGAGAGTTGTGTGGTTTAAGGCTGTGCAACGTCGGCTTTGTTTGGACTACAAAGATACCGTTAATAAATTATTTCATAAATGATTTACGAATTCCGCTAGCATTGTCAACGATAGCCACCATAGCCACCATAGCCACGTGCGCACCAGAGCCAATCACTGCAGAGCCTGTGTTGAAGGTGTTTCCCAGTTGTCTCCCCCTGTCAATCTAAACCCGCGGACACTTTATAATCATATGGATGCTGTTATAATGTGTACTGATTGAGATCCTGACCCACCAAACATCCTGGAAAGTGACCAAGTTACGTTTTTCACTCTAAATGACACAATTATTACACAATAATCACCAGCAGTAAACTGACTCCCTCACTTGCGAGACAGAGAATGTTTTAACACTCGGTGAGTTTTTCGCTGGTGACAGACGCTGTTTTTTCAGAGATCTGATGGAAGAGTCGGTAGGACAGGCGGGAGGACAGACAGGTGGACAGATGCTTCTCCACGTACAGCTGTGGTATTTTTTTCTTCATGTAAGTTTCCAAAGACAGTTACAGTTACTACGGTACTGTTGTTTGGTCCTGTAACGTTGCTTTGTGGGACATTTCTCTTACAGACAGTTATCAGGCTGTCTGACCGACACGCCCTCGCCTCCTACGGGCGCTGCACTAGTTTCATAGAAGAAGACTATACTGACTTTATGTCACTTCCGTAGTAGTTCACCTCCGTTGTGGCTTTTGTATTCGTGTTCTGGCCTTTGTATTTGGCCTGACACCTCTGGGCCACCGTATATAATAATATTAAATAATATTAAATAGAATAAATAATATAATTATAATATTCAATAATATTAAATAATGTTATAATATTAAATAATATTGAATAATATTAAATAGTATTAAATAATGTAATTATAATATTATAAAAGATTACGGCCAAGTGTTTAAAAAAGACATAAAGGAAAACGTACCTTTTTACTCTCCTCTCCAAAACTCAGCCAACTTTCTTCTTCTTCTTCTTCTTCTTCTTCTTCTTCTTCTTCTCCTTCTTTATGTCTTTCGGATCTGGTCTCACAGGACTGGTCCATCCCTCAGGTCGGGTCCACCTAGTGGCCTGGCGCACTTCCGTTTTGTGAAGTGAATTTTGCTTTGTTTTGTTGTTTTGTGTGTTTCGGGTATTTGCAGCATTTTTCTGTTGCATTTGTTTTATGTGTTTGTGTGTTTTTGGTTTTGCATCATTCCTGTGTTTGCAGAGTTTTGGCGGTTGCGGCGCGTTTGCCCTTGTCGGCCACCGTAGATGGCCTGTTCTCTCATTCTCTGGTTACCTGGTCTGGCCTCATTCTGCAGAGCTGAATGTAACATTAATTATTATGGTGTTATTATTATATCGTATATAATTATTAAATTTTTCTTACATCATACATGTAAAATCCTACATTTTTTGTTACATTAAGTAACCCCACTCTTATAGTTCCAGGAGGTGTCTGGATGGTTCTCTGGTCTTGGTCAATACACTGTATTGGTCCTGACACTGTCTGACCACTTCCTCGCTGTCTGCTCTTTGTTTACTTTGAGTCTCCCTCTTTCAATGGCGCTTTGTCATTTTTCTACCAGTCTGGTAAATGGTAAATGGACCTGTACTATTATAGCGCCTTTCTAGTCTTCCGACCACTCAAAGCTCTATTACACTACGTGCCACATTCACCCTTTCACACACATTCACTCAAACACAAACAGAAACTAACTCATTCATACACACTCACACACTGATGCACGGCATCAGGAGCAATTTGGGGTTCAGTATCTTGCTCAAGGATACTTCGACATGTGGCGGCAGGAGAGTCATCGAACCAACAACCTTCTGATTAGGGGACGAACCCGCTCTGCCTCTGCACCACAGCTGCCCGCCTGCTTGCTTTCATCTTCTTCTCTCTCTTCCTCTTCCACTCTCGTCATCCTCCCCATCACACACTCCCTGCTGATCACTTCCTGTCTCTTGGTTAGTCTCTGTTTCTGTCTCAGGTTCTCTTCTAGTCTGCTCAGTTTCATCACCTCATTCCCTCACATGTCTTTCATTTTGTCTCTGTGATTGCTGAAAACTAAACAAATAAACTGAAAAATTACCAGCAGCACAAGCAGCACATCAGTCTTTTCCGTCTGGAAGCCTTTTCCTCGTGACGTTTCACCATCTCGTCAAAGATTTGCCTGTGAATGAAACAAGTGAACGTACAGTTAACATCATCCAACAAACCCCAACACCAGTGGTTGCCAACAAACAAAATTTACCCTGAAACAAGATTTATATAATGACTTGTCAAAATGTGTCCAATGAAAGCCTCTGTTTGCGGTATTTTCATACAAATATTATCATGTAATGATACCATCTGTTACCTGAAATCTGAAATTCTTCTTCTGTTTTATATTTCTATGGTCATCCCTGCCGTACAGTGTTGTATTGACATGGTACTAATGTTTGTCCACTACTTTAAAGGCAAAACTGCTCCACCAAATGAAAATCTGCTCAAAGATTGAAGGTCAACCCCTGGAAATGGCAAAACAGTGCCAAAATTGTCCTGTTGGGTTTAGGATATGACAATCAAAGTATCATCAATCAATCCGTTTTCTAGCTAGCATAGTGTTAGCTTTAGTATCTCTAAGTGACGTATTTTAAGGACTGCTCATAGGTCATTGATACCACTTGGTGGGTGAGGTTGTTGTTTGTAAGAATCACAGAAAACGTCATACTTGATGTTGTCGAACTGTTCCCCCAGCGTCCCGGTGATCTCTAGAATGGCGTCAGCTGTATCTCTCAGTGATTGGCTCGCTTCAGTCACATGATTATTTGTGATCAGGTCTTTCCAGTCTTCAATCGCCTCAGGAAGTTCAAACGCCAGTCCAACAAGTCCTCCTGCAACCTGATGATGAATATGGATCAATACATGATTCATTTTCAATATTATCAGACTGTCAGTCTCAAAACACATGTCCCTTTATCAAAATCATAAAAACGATAAACACAACAACAATAAACTTTTGTGTATTCTTACCATGACACCTCCTTTTAGGGCTTTTGACGAACATTTTTTGGTTAGTTTTTTAGCTACTTTAGCACTAGATTTGACAATCTTGCCAGTTCCTAAACCACTTTCTTTACACATTAGTTTGACCAGTTGCTCAGCTCCTTTAGCAAACAAATGTTTAAGTTTTTGCCACGAAGCTGAAGTGCAAAAAATGCTAAAATTCCAACCAGTCCAACATTCACTTCAGGGTTGAAGAGGATGTTTCTTGGTCCTTTGTCAAGAAGAATCTGTGGAGCTTTATCAAGCCTGCGGATGTTGATCTGCTGCTTCAGTCCACTTCGTCTGGCCATGGCTCTCAGAATTTCAGTCAAGACATGTTTATCCACTTTATTTGGGTCCGTGGAGGAACTCTTCACCTTCAGTTGTTCAAACAGTTCTTGTATTTCTTCTGCAACCTCGTTGCTCTTTTCGTCTATCACTTGCGCCTCTTTCATGGTTTCGCTGGATATGAAGCCCTCAATGATTTTAGTAGCCACAGATACAGTGGCACCTGCACCTGAACACACTGCTCCTGCCACGCCTAAAAGTGGAGCAGCTGCACCGCCGGTAAAAAAAGTGGCCACACCAGCTGCGATCATACATGCAGATCCAGCCACTGACACTGTGCTTCCAACACATTCACTGATATTACATTTCTCCCTGAGTGACTCCAGCTCCTGGGCCAGTTTCCTCAGCTTCTCTGCACAGCGCTCCCTCTGCTTGATCCAGGAGAACATCAGCTCCACCAGCTGGTCAGCGGTGGCCATGATGGAGGTCTCTGTGTCCTTCTGATTCTCCAACCAGAGACCAGACAACTGAGAACAAGTCTGAAAGAAGAAAGTTTTCTGGGTAGACTAATGTGCTGTTTTAGGACAACTCAGTAAAATGTACAGTGTATTTTGGGTGCGCTGTGAGTCAAATTCTTTATAATCTACAGAAGAGGAAAGGCCACATGTGAACATTTTATTTGAGTTCTGAGTTTAAAGGAAAAAAAGAGGCTGAATTCAGTGAGAAAACTTTAAACTCAGAACTCAAATAAAATGTTCCCATGTGGCCCTGTCCCTAATAATCTCACTTGGTTTCACTGTTTATTACTGTAGATTATCCCTTTTTTACACTTGGTTCAAATTATATTTTATGATGACAACATTTCTGGATATCAGTTTATTATCTGTGCAATAAACTTCCTCATAGCTATGATATGAAGCATAAGAAGCAAAGAAAGAACAACAAGAGTTTCTTACCTGTTTTTGAAAGTTGTAGTCGAGTAAAGTTTGGAGAGAATCTATGGACTGACTGTAAACTAAGGCTCTGTGTTTGTTCCACTGACTGCAGTTTTTGTCTGAAGTTTATCCTGCAGGCCAGTTTCTGTAAGTGACTTGTTGTAAAGGTGTAGCTGCACAACAATGTCCCGTGCACATTCTTTTGATCTACTATGTACTCGCATACATTCTACTACCAGAACTTTTTCAACCTTTACTTAGTAGAGAAGGGCCATAGAGAGCAAGCTCTCTTTTACACAGTTTATGTTAATGATTAATTAATTCAATCGGCAACGCGGGCCATCAAGATATACTGCTGCACACACACTCTGCAGCCTGGATACTTTTATGCTTGAACAGGAAACAGCAGCAACTGTGAAATGTTAGAGGAAGAGCCGCAGGAAACATGCTTCACACCTGCATCTTCAGCACTGAGACGGTGGTAAATGGTAAATGGACCTGTACTTATAGCACCTTTCGAGTCTTCTGACTACTAAAAAGTGCGAAAGCCACATTCACCCTTTCACACACATTCACTCCGTGATGGCAAAGCCCATCAAACAGAAACTAACTCATTCATACACTTTCACACACCGATGGACCAATCTCTGTCAGCCTGTCTACAGTGCTGAAGAGGAACCTAGGGTTGTCCTTATTTTCTTCTATTAGTGCTGAGTAATAGGCTCCTCTGGCATTACTGAGGGCCTTTCTATAGGTTTTAAGATTATCTTGCCAAATTGAGCGATATTCTGATAATTTGGAAGATGATAATTTTTGAATTTCCGAAGGTTTGGTGGTTGTACCACGGTGCTAGTCTCCTATGTTTTAATAATTTCCTTTTTATAGGAGCGATAGAGTCTAATGTTCTTCGTGGTGAGCCTTCAGCACTATCAACAAGATTATCAATTTAGAAGGGACTCAAGTTATTATAAGAGTTCTCTGTTATATTCAGACATTGAAGTAAACACTGAAGGAATCTCCTCCTTAAATTTAGCTACAGCACTGTCAGATAGACATCTGCTGTAGGAAGTTTTGCCTAATGGCTTATAATCTAACAATAGAAATTCAAGTTATTAAATGGTCAGATCTGACAGAAGCCAATTGAGTCTATTGATGAGAAAAATGCGTTACTAAGGCTGTCATTGTCAACATGAATGTTAAAATTACCTACAACTAGTAGCCATTTAGTTATAATTGGTCAAAATGTTAATCTAGGGTGCCCGGTCAGCTCAGTCGGTAGAGCTGGCAACCCATGTATGGAGTTGCTGCAGTGGCCCGGGTTCAAATCCGACCTGTGGCCCTTTGCTGCGTGTCATCCTCTCTCTCTGTCCCCCTTTCCTGTCTATATTTGGCTGTCACTATCGAATAATGGAAATAAAAGGCCAAAACAATAACTTAAAAAAAATTTTAATCTAAAATATTTGTATAGCAATTTTGAGGTTATAATATATATTTTCATATTCATTAATTACATTCTGACTATTCAAAACTGATTCACAGATGTCTTTTAATATTTAATTGAATACATCAGTAATCCCCTTTTTACCAGTAAGAGTAACAGTTTTCATATGTATATATATAGAAAAGAACCAGTAACCATCTCAATGGCAGACATCCAAGAAAGAGTGTCAAAGATGAAGAGCTGGACAGCACCAGGCCCCGATATGATCCACGCCTACTGGCTGAAGAAGCTAACAGCACTCCATGAACGCCTAGCAGCACAGATGAACCAGCTGCTAAGGGATGGGTCCCACCCAGAGTGGCTAACCCAGGGCAGGACGGTCCTAATCCTGAAGGACCCTAAGAAGGGACCCATCCCATCCAACTACCGGCCAATAACCTGTCTCTCCACAACATGGAAGGCCCTGTCAGGCATCATCGCGGCTAAGATGAGTAAGCACGTAGCTCAATACATGAGCGGGGCTCAGAAGGGAATTGGTAGCAACACCAGAGGAGCCAAGCACCAGCTACTGATCGACTGGCTACAGTCGCCCGAGACTGTAAGAGCAGGAAGACCAACCTGTGCACCGCCTGGATCGACTACAAGAAAGCTTACAACTCAATGCCCCACACCTGGATACTGGAATGTCTGGAACTGTATAAGATCAACAGGAACCTAAGGGCCTTCATCCAGAACTCGATGGGAATGTGGAAGACAACCCTAGAAGCCGACTTAAAGCCAATTGCCCAAGTCAACATCAAATGCGCCATATACCAAGGAGATGCACTATCACCACTGCTGCTCTGCATAGGCCTCATCACAAAGAGTGGTTACGGGTACCAATTCCGAAGTGGAGCAACAATTAGCCACCTGCTCTACATGGATGGCATCAAGCTGTACGCCAGGAATGAGCGAGACATCGACTCACTGATCCAAACCACCAGGATCTACAGCAACGACATAGGGATGTCATTCGGATTGGACAAGTGTGGCCGGATGGTCTCAAAGAGAGGCAAGATGATCAGAACTGAAGGGGTTGACCTACCAGAGGGCAACATAGGTGATATCCAAGACAGCTACAAGTACCTTGGTATCCCACAGGCTAATGGAAACCATGAGGAAGCCGCAAGGAAGTCAACCACAACCAGATACCTCCAGAGAGTAAGGCAGGTCCTGAAAAGTCAGCTGAATGGCAGGAACAAGATCCAAGCCATCAACATGTACGCACTACCAGTCATCAGATACCCTGCTGGGATCATAAGCTGGCCAAAGGAGGAGATAGAAGCCACAGATATCAAGACAAGAAGGCTCCTCACCGTGCAAGGAGGGTTTCACCCCAAATCCAGCACCCTGAGACTGTACACTAAGCGGAAAGAGGGAGGCCGAGGACTAGTGAGCATCAAGGCCACTATCCAGGACGAAACATCAAAAATTACATACATTACAAGTACATCAGAAAAATGGCCACAAAGGATGAACTGCTAAGTGAATGTCACAGGCAACAGAAACCCAATAAGAGTGCGGAGGAAGAGGAGCAGACAACCTGGAGGGACAAGCCCCTACATGGCATGTACCACCGCCAAATTGAAGAAGTGGCTGATATCGAGAAGACCTACCAATGGCTGGAAAAGGCTGGACTCAGAGACAGCACAGAGGCACTGATCATGGCAGCACAAGAACAGGCCCTAGGTACAAGAGCCATAGAGGCCAAGATCTACAAGAGTAGATCTGACCCAAGGTGCAGACTATGCAAAGATGCCTCTGAGACAGTCCAGCACATAGTAGCAGGGTGTAAGATGCTAGCCGGGTCAGCGTACATGGAGAGACACAACCAAGTGGCTGGAATAGTGTACAGGAACATCTGTACCCAGTATGGAATAGAAGTACCCAAATCCCAATGGGCCACACCACAGAAGGTGGCTGAGAACAACAGGGCCAAGGTGCTGTGGGACTTCAGCTTCCAGACTGACAAACAGGTCCTGGCTAACCAACCAGACATAGTGGTGTTAGACAAGGAGCAGAAGAAGGCGTGGTGATAGATGTGGCCATACCAGCAGACGCCAACATCAGAAAGAAGGAACACGAAAAGGTTGAAAAGTACCAAGGGTTGAAAGAACAGCTGGAGCAGATGTGGAAGGTCAAGGCGAGCGTGGTCCCTGTGGTAGTAGGAGCACTCGGGGCAGTGACCCCCAAACTGGGGGAGTGGCTCCGACAGATCCCAGGAACAACATCAGAAGCCTCAAACTCCCAGGCCTCTGGTAGAGGACCCGAGCTTGAGGATGACACAGATACCACCCCAAGAGGGTTTTTTTTTTATATATATATCTATATATATATAGATATATATATATAAGTAGATATATTCCCTCCATTCATATAAAAAGAGCATTTATAGCTATTCTATTATTATTTTTTAGTTCATATGATTGTTCTCTGGTTTTTATTCTTTTTTTGTAATATTGGCAGGTTTGGGGTTTTATACATACTTACCTTAAAGGACAGTATTTACCTTCAAACATCAGATTTTTATACATTTTACTCACTTATACTTGTTCTGATGAAGACTTAAAGGTTTAATCAGTTGTAAAGGTTTAAATGACTGCGTTGTTTCTACATTGTGTGGAACGTTTAAAGCTCTAACGGATTATTTGAACATTTGGTTCCCGTTCAGACTGCTGTGTAGGGCAGAATTGGGTAAAAGTTCACACTTGCATTTATAATTATTGTCTACAAGGTAACATTACAAATGTTAAAATGTTAAACTGAGCTCAAACTGGTCTCCAGCAGGTTCCTGATGTGGTTTGAAACTGGACAGAATATAGTAAAAGATCATGTTTATCACAAAGGTTATAATGGATGTTTTTTTACAGTGTACAGATCTTACAGACATCCTGAGCTCTGTCGGAGATTCGCACTCTGATGCTAGTGGGATTGGCGACAATGAGGGAGGAACACATGAAGACCAAAAAGAGGGGACAGTCAGCACCCTGAAAAAGGTTCAGTGAGGGACCTGAGAGCTTTTCTTAGAAGAAAAATCAGATATTTTGGTAAAAACTAAATTTGTACCGGTAGCAATCATATTTGAGATGTCTACAGTTACTTTTATTAAACGAACTGGGCAACATATGCTAAATTAATTATGTCAGACATTTTTACAGTAATTTTTTGTAATTGTTACTCTTACTGATGGAAAGGGAATTACTGATATATTAAAATTAATTAAAGTCAGTGAGTCAGTTTTAGTAGTCAGAACGTAATGAAGGTATGTGAATATATATATTATAACCTCAAAATTGTTTTACAGAAATCTTAGACTTAATGGCTAGCCATAACTATGCATACAGCCTGAACCAAAGTAAGTGAAGCTGTGTCTTATCTCAGCTCCAGCTATAATAAATAAATAAAGAGAATATTATCAGCAGGTTATCACTTATCATTTCAATGTGTTTTAGTCTCCTATAAATTGACAACAAAAAACACAATGCAGGTTTAGATTTTAGTTTTCTTTTAATCAAATATAGAAATTACATTACACATTATATGACATGTGTCTGTGATTGAATCTGACTGATCTCTGTTGCCATCTGGTGTTTGAGCAGCAGATTACACTCAGGGATGATGGAGGAGTGGAGCAGCTGATTGAAGTTGTGATTTTATGAATTAGTGAATAAATGTGTGGATTATATTACCATAACCATGTTCAATAGTGAACTGACTCTGAATAAAGCAATGATCACAGAACATTTTGATTAGTGTTTAATTATTCAATAATAGTGAACAGCAGCCAAATGAATTTAAACAGCTAACATCATTTCCACTCAGGGTGTTTCCAAGCTCAGTCAGGTAACTGGAACTCTGACAGCTCTGCTCATGGTCAAACACGTTTTAAACTAAATATATTTACACTTTCCTGATAAACTTTAAACAAATGTAAAGATTAGAAGCTTGATTCAGACTGTCTGTTAGAGTGCTTGGACTCCATCACACTTGCATGCACAGTGACTATAAGTGCATTCACACTCAATAGCAACAAGAGCTAGACATCACCCAAAACAATCTAGGCCAAAACCACACTGTCTTAATATATATTATATTTAGAGCAAACAGCTATTCTCTATATACAGATACAGAGTCACATGGCGTCTCACTCCCTCTGTCTGTGTTGTATCGCAGTCTCTCTGTGGTTTGTTTCCATAGCCGGTCTGCTCCGACTGAAACTGCTGTTTTTATCATCTACGTCGGTGAATTAAGGATTTATTTCCACCAAACCAGAGTTGGTGATTGTTGGAAAGATTAACAAAGACGGTTTTGGGGAATTTTGTTGTATTCCTGTCCCGTTCTTTTGGAAAGTGAATTCAATTTATATAACTTTTAAGTGGGTTTAGCTGTCTAAAGTTAATCTTACAGGCACCAACACACAACCTGCTTTGACGTGAAGGCACGTTGACTCTTTTGATAAATGTCTTGCCAACTGAAGGTGAAGGATCTACAAACATTTTTCATTATTCATTATTATTTTGTCATAATGTTACTTTGTGTTTAAATCCAGCAACACTTGTAGTAAGATTGTATCTTCAACTTCATCAGCCACAACCCCGATACGCGTTGGTCTCACAATAAAGATATTCTTCATTATACTTTACTTACTTACTTACTTACTTTAATACTCCTTTAACTACTTCAGGATTCCTTTATTTTTATTTTTCCTGAATTATTTGACTTTTTTCAATAAATCTTTCATCATGATAAATCATGGCCACGCCTGTTCTAGATAATGCTCGTGATTCCACCAGAAGTGTTTCTCTGCTCTCTTTTGTGGGGGATACATGGCTGGTCTATTTTTGACAAAAGCAACACAGAGTAGATCACATTGGCAGGAAGACATACACAGAAATGGCATAGAGAATCTGGTCAATTTTCAAAATAAAATACCCTGTGCGGATACCGGATCGAATTTCACGCTACGCCAACATTGTGGAGAAACACAATGTTTTGCATCCTTTTAACAGCGTTCCACTTCTCGATAATGGAGTCAAGTGTCTTTAACAAATTTAAAGAAATGGCAATTAATTACATATTCTGAATTCATGTTGGATTTTCTTCAACTTCAACATTTTTCTTTTGAATGTGATGATTTTCTATTCTTCCCTCTTTTTCAACCATTGTTGACCGCTTGTCTTAATTCTTTTTCTTCTTAGTTTTCTTCCTCTTATCTTTTGGCTTTGCATTGAAATATACGGTGTAATGATCTGATATTCCATCATTTTGGACAACGAGATGAGAGATTTCAACATTTCTGGTGAGGACGAGATCCAGAGTGTGACCTGCCCGGTGTGTTGGCTCCTGCACATGCTGCTCAAGGTTGTAGATCGGCCAAATATGATAAAACTCATCAGTGAAAGACCTCCTTTCCTGATCGACCCAGATATTGAAATCTCCAGTCACAATGATGCTGTTGTAGTTGTTGAAATAATCTAAGAGCGTTTCAAACTCATCCAGAAATGTACGGAACTGGTCCCTGTTGTACCCCGGTGGGTGATACACATTGATGATGGGGACCGGCTGGTTCCACTCATCATGATGCAGAACTGTGACAACACATTCAAAGGTTGTTATAGAGTCAAAAGGAATGTTTTCACCCTGCAGCTCCTGTGAGAACTGATTCGCTACCCCTCCACCCCTTTGACCAACCCTCACCTGATAATATATAATATTTATAATTTATAATAATAAAGTGTAATTCTGTGGTGAAGCCTCCCTGAGGACTGTGTCTGCATTGTCTTCTCTTAACCATGTCTCTGTTGTGAGAAAGACGTCCAGGTTGTTTTGAGTTATGAGCTCTAAGATCCTGGATCGTCTGTTATTCATTGAGCGAACATTAAGTAACCCCACTCTTATAGTTCCAGGAGGCGTTTGGTTGTGCTCTAACTTCTGTTCATTTTCCTTTCTTTAATCTGTTTGAGTCTCCTTGTTTCTATTCTTCTCCTGAGGTGGATCTAAACTCGTGATGACATCTTTCTGATAAATGAAACCTAACCAAATATACAGAGGAAGTAGAGAAAGAAGAAAGCACAATATTAGCCGAGTGTTTTTCTCTCTGGAAAGCTTTTTAGCCTTCTCCTCGTCTTCTCGTCGTGTTTTAGACTTCTCCTCTTCTTCTTGTCGTCTTTTGTCGATCTCTTCAAACATCTTGCTGTGAATAAAACAAGTGAAAGGACAGTTAGCATAAATCAACATCAGTGGTTGCAAGCAAATAGATTTAACCCTGAAATTATGCTTATGTACATTTCTGGTAATTAATTAATAATTCAAGTAATAACCTGTATCAAAATTAGAGATGGAACGGTTCAGTTCAGTTCATTTGAAATGAAAAAGGCTTGTGCAGAAAAAAACACACAGATCTTCCTACACACTTTACAGTCTTTTCTCATTCCTAGGTCATCAAATATGGACATGAGAGGTGGACCACTAGATGTCTCTAAATCCTACACACTGGACCTTCAAGATTTGACAATGTTGTACCAAAAACACACAGAACCCAACTGAAAGCAGCAATATGAACCTGAATGTTGTCAACCGTTCCATCCCCTGTCAAAATGTGTCCAATGAAACCGTCTGTGAATTTGCTAGCCAGCATGTTGTTAGCTTCAGAGTCTGGAAGTGATTATTTGTCATTTTGAGGACTTTTCGTAGGTCTTGCTACAGATTTATCCATATTCTAGTAAAAATATGAGTATGTATGAGTATGACTCATATAAAAGATGGACGTCTCCACTTCCTCCATTTCGATTTTTTTAGTTTGTTTCATCTGCTTACATGGAGGCTTTATGAGCAATTCTGCACTCAGACACCAGGGGGAGATAGAGAGGTTCTGGCTTCACTTTTGGAGAGCTGTCCATGTCGTCCATCTTTACATATGTGAATGGTCTGACTATACAGATGGAAATTATACTGCATACATTTCTTTGGACTTTTGTAAGTGACGAGAATCCAAACTGAGTTCAGCTGGAGGAGAGTGTCAGAACTGTCATGTTTGATGTTGTCCAACTGTTCCCTCAGTGTCCCGGTCCTCTTGGCTGTTTCTCTCAGTGTTTGGCAGGCATTGGTCACGTTGCTATTCTTCCTGATCGCTTTGATAAGGTTGTCAATCACCTCAGCAAGTTTAAACACCAATATAACTCCTCCCACAACCTGATGATGATGGAAATACGTCCCAGTACTTTATTTAAAAAAGACTGTAACTCAAAATAAAGTATGGTGAAATCGATCTTTAGATTCTGTCCAGTTCGTCTGGCCATGGCTCTCAGAATTTCAGTCATGACTTGTTTGTCCACTTGCTCTGGTTCTGGACAGTGACTCGTCTCCATCAGTTGCTGAGGCCGCTCCTGGAGTCTTTCTGCAATTTTGTTGCACTTCTCTTCTATCTCCTGAGCCTCTTTCAGGATGCTGCTGAATAAGAAGAGGTCAATGATTCTATCAACTGGTCTGAGGATCAAACACAACCACGTGCAGGCCATGGTCCTGTTGTATTCCCACCAAAAGGGCTCCAACTTGTGGCCAGATACCTCAGCTTCTCTGCACAGTGCTGCTTCTGCTCAATCCAGGAGTAAATCAGCTCCACCAACTCATCAGCGATGCCCATGATGGAGGTCTCTGCGTCCTGCTGATCCTCCAACCAGAAAGAAAGTCTGAGAGGGGAATGTCAGAGAACAGATTAAAGGACAACTGAGAAAACTCCATCTGCCGACGATGACCATCAAATACAAACACCGTGAGATGGACATTGAGTCTAATCTCCTATTTATAGGGTCAAGGAACTCTCACTCTAGGATGCTGTAAAGTGATTGTGGTTTAACAAACTAACATTCAAATTTGGAAAAATTTGGAAAAATCCAAGATAAAAGCACAAAATACAGTACCTATATACTTTAAGGTGACACGGTGAGGAAATACTTTTCCCCGAGAAATATTTTGAGTGTAAAAAAGTAAAAAGAGTGTGTGTTTGAGTAAACCCTGAGCAATGGAGAAGTTCAATGGAGTTTTTTAAACTTCTGCTGAGAACATAAAGAAATGTAGTCCATGCTTGGTTTGAGGCAGTGTTTCTGAATAAGTGAAATCTAGTCCAATGCCTGACGAAGGAATCGTTTTGCATTGCATCAAGAAACAAACACATTTCAGTTTGTTGGACACTGAATAGGTTTTTAGCCATAATTTAAGAATGAATTCAAGATTTTCACAACTGTTGACTGTGACAACACAATGAGTAATCAATAAGTAGCACAGTATGGACTTTCATCCACTCTGACCTTCCCTTCTTGCAAACAGCGTATTGTAGCGTGGAGCTAACTGCGATCCTGTGAGTTTCACCTCGAGTTCACAGAGAGGAAGAGCAGCTAAAAGTTCCACATTTATACTCTGTAAGAATCCATCTTTACATAGTAACTGGAGTCATACATACTGTATGCATGATCAATATAGTGACTTCCACTAAGTGACTAAGTGACTTCCATTCAGACACAAAATACACTCTACCTTTACCTATACATTTTATATATAATTCCTTCAAACTCTTTGTCACTTATTTCCTATGAGTCTGACAGACATGGAGGTAAACTGCAGTTTGATATGACCACAGGAGGTAACTCTGGTTTCACTTTGTTGCTGCAGTGAAGCTGATTTAGATTTTTCTGTCTGAACATCAGAGTGTCTGCACAATAAACTTCCTCTCAGGATCTGTGCACTGTGAGCTGGGTGTATACGGAAAGGCTGAAAGAACACACTGTTCCATAAAGCAGAGTCTCTTTATACTGAAGATACCATGTTCAACTCTCTCTGGTTGTTTGAACAGAATCACAATCCATACAGCTCTCCACTGTCTTAAATATACAGCATCTAGTTTCCTTTTGCACCTTGTGAGGAGAATCACAAGAGTTTTATTGTTATTATATTTAGATATTTAAATCTACAGAATGAGAATCAAAGACAGAAAATAAGAGTTTCTTACCTGTTGTGAAAGTCTGTTTGAATAAAGTGTGAAAGTGAACTCAGGCTCTGTTTTTGTCCGTCTGCCTGACTGTAGCAGAGTTTCTTATCTGAGCAGCTCACTTCTTGTAAGTCATGTTCCTGTAATCTTCTAGCTGCAGATTTTCTGCACCAGGGGGCAGATGGGGGGGTCTGGGAGCATGTTTTTTCCCCCACTGACAGCAGCTATTGGCACTAAAAAACATGATAGCTGCCCAATAAAACCTTCATCCTGTTTATTATCTAATTGTTCTCTGACTGCCTTCATCATTCTCAACCCAGAACACAACTAATATTTAGGAAGACTTATTTTTCTGATTTTATTATTTTTAAATTATATAACATAGTATTACTGATCTTGAAACCTGCTTCTGTTCAACTGTGCCCTCATCCCATAATACTGTAATAGATGCTGATATTTACAGTAACTGAACTTCAGCTCTGGTCCAATCAGAGAGGCTGAGGCCATGTCATTGTCAGATATCATGATCAAACATACATCACATTAACTGTCAGCGGGTTTTCTACCCAGAAGTTATTGTAAACTAACATTGTGATTGCTTGCAGCTAATATTGATGTTAGCCCTATGAAACCATGTGATATAATATCCCTAACACAGAAACCTCTCTTGTGTTATTAGTGTCAGTCTTTGATTTTAGTGTGTAAACTCATTTTGCCTTCAACATTATAAATAGCAATAAGAAACTCCTTTCTGCTCAAACTGTAATGGTACGATTACTTTACAAACATCACCAAATACAACCAGCTTCTAACAGCAGATTATCTGACTAACAACTTTCTGTCTCATTTTATTTAAAGTCAGACTATAACTGCCATAATGATGAATGCGAAACTTCTCAATCTTAGAAACCATCATCACTGGAGTTACTTTTATACATAAAAAAAACTTTTTTTTTTTACTTTTATTACACAGAAACATTTTGAAGCCAGGACACATTATTACAAACAGTTTTCAAATATCAGGTTTAATATGATTCTGGACACATTCTGTTTGTTCGTCACACTTCAGCTCAGTTTCTAAATATTACAATAATTACTCTTTAAATTATCTTTACATAAGGCACACTGTGATTGTACTGTAAACTAACTATGGTTTATGTTATATTATATTATTCAAGGCTGGATTACTACAACCCTTTTTTATCAGGTTGCCCCAATAAATCCTTTAAAACCCCCCCATTTTTTAAAAACCCCCCACAACAAAAAAAAAAAAAAAAAAAAAAAAAAAAAAACCCCCCCCCCCCAACAACCCCCCCACCTTCCCCCCCTTTAAAATAAAAATTTAATTTTAAAAACCCCCCCCCCCCACAAAAAACCTCCTCCTCCCCCCCCCTCAAATCTTAAAAAAAACATTAAACCCCCCCCCCCCCCCCCCAAAACACACTTAATAAACTTTTTTTTTTTTTGGTTCTTTTTACTTTTAAAAAAAAAAAAAAGCCAAAAACCCCCCCAAACCCCCCCCCCCCCCCCCCCAACCCCCACCCATTTGTTGGGGGGGGGGAACCCCCCCACCCCCCCAACAAAAAAAAAAAAAAAAAAACCCCCTTTTTAAAAAATTTATTTAAGGGGTATAGAAGGAGGCTCCACCACCCCCCCTTTTTACTTCCCCTAATCACCAAACAAACGGGGTTTACCTTTCGCGCTCCCCCACTCCCCCCCCCCCCCCCCCCCCCCCCCCCCCTCCCCCCCCCCCTTATCCCCCCCCCCCCCCCCCCCCCCCCCCCTTTTTTTCTTCCTTTCCCTTCCCCCCTTTCCCCCCCGTCCCCCCCTCCCCCCCCCCCCCCCCCCCCCTTTCCTTCCCTTCCCCTTTCTCCCTTTTCCTCTCTCCCTCTTTCTCTCTCTCCCCCCCCCCCCCCCCCCCCCCCCCCCCCCCCCCCCCCCCCCCCCCCCCCCCCCCCCCCCCCCCCACCCCCCCCCCCCCCCCCCCCCCCCCTCTTTCCCCCTTTTTTTCCTCTTTTCCCCCTCCCCTTTTTTTCCTTTTTCCCTTACCTTTTTCTTTTTTTTTTATTGTTTTTTTTAATTTTTTTAAAATAAAAATTTTAATAAATACTTTTTTTAAAAATAAATTAAAATAAAAAAAATTTTAATTTAAATTTAATTAAAAAAAAAAAAAAAAAAAATTATGTTCTTTAATCATTCTTTAACTACGAGATAACGGGAGAAGTTACTTTCAGCTGTTTACAAGGTTCATTCATTAACAGTTGGTTTCACCCAAAAGGGGGCGTGGTCGTTCTGAAGCCCTTATCTATTGTGAGTAAATGAGCAACAGTCCAACTTAAAGTTAATATAAAAATCTGGAGTTACAAACTAATAAGAGATCAGACTTAATCAACAATACACACAGAAATCCAACATATTAAATCTGTAAAATCAGCAGTGAGGTTCTGTGTGTTCACGAAGAGTTGTAGACTTCAGACTGTGTGATATTTGTCTCTTTGTCTCTAAGTGTAAAAGGATTATATATGAGCTGAATCTGATAAACCTGCGGAACCTCAATAAGAACCTGTTCTTACATGAGGCTCATTCAGGCTCAATATTTTCTTCCTAAAGTGCTGAAATGTCCTTAAAATGTTGTTTGAGTCTCGATTTCAAAAGTAAAACAGAAAAACAACAAATCTGGATTCAAACTCAATATAGCAAAAATAATATAATTTTGAATAAGTTTGAATAAAACGCTGCTGGCTCGATAGAAAAGTGACTTGTGTTCATTGAGGACTCTTCATCAACATCTTCTTCATGTCTTCAGTTACTGGAAGGGAAAGGTCAAAGGTTAACCAATCAGTGTCCTCTCTTTTCCCCAGCAGTAGACGTATGGATGCAGTGTCGAAAGATAAACAATTTACTGTTTGCGAAGACCCGCCCTCCTGTTCCTAACCTGTCAATCATCACTTTATAGTAATAAGGGCACAAATTTACCATCAAACTTTCAACAGTTACTACACTTGCTGTATGTGCATCACATTCAAAATATACATAAAATACCAAAAGTACCCATGCAGAATATTGTATATTGAATTAGTGAATTATAATTAATTATAATTAATAATCGCAGCCTCTCTGTGGTTTGTTTCCATAGCCGGTCTGCTCCGACTGAAACTGCTGTTTTTATCATCTCGGTGAATTAAGGATTTATTTCCACCAAACCAGAGTTGGTGATTGAAACACATGTCAAATTATGACTTCACTAAAACGTATGAAATAAAGTTCATATTAATATCATTATTGTTACAATAATCAAATAGACAATCCAGACATGTACCTATAGCACTGACCTCTGTCCTGTATCTACAGCACTCGTATGTCCTGTATCTGTCTGGTCCTCTGTAACTTAGTATTATTATAAAAATGGACTCAATCAAAACTTTATTAATGGTCTCTGAAAGACAATTAGTGTAATGTTTTGGACTTGACTTAAACTTATAAAAAAGGTAATATAAATTGTATCATTATTGCTATTATATGAATCAAATAGACAGTACTAAGGGTGCTCCGATTGATCGGTCGATGATCTTAATCTACCTAACTAACTAATTAAAACTCTCTATTAACACCAATCAGAAAAGCTGATTAGCTGACGGATTCATTCTGATGATTCATTCAGTCTTTGACACACATAGATTTACTTGGAGCACCACTCGGTATAGGTCAGGGACTGTTAGTATTTTGTAGAGAAACAGAGAGAGACGTTATCTGATGGATGTTTAACAAGCACGAAGCAGGTAAATCAACAGTTCGGTTTTTGATAGGCAATGTCGTAAACGTGTCTCCTTGTTCGGGTTACGGTTGTGCGGTACGTGACTTACCTGACCTGCATCTACACCTCTGACTTATATAACAATAATATGGTTGTTGAATCAAATAAACAGCACTGACCTCTGTCCTGTATCTGTCCTGTCCTCTGTACCTTAATATTATTATTATTTTTGGAGCTATTGTCAATAGGATTGTATGAAACAAATGTGGCTTTATGTACAACATTCCCAAATTTGGTTATACTCAAATCCAGCATTGAAGATTTAGGGCCTGTTAAGTGCATCAGGCCACACCTTCAAAAGTTTGGTAACCAATTACAGAAACACAATAACCTATAAGTCTTGTTTGGCTTCATCTTAATATGCTGATGTACTGAATATGGTGAAGATTAAATGAAATATATGCTAAAAGAAGCAAAGAAATCCAAAATGGTGAAATGGGTTTAAAGCGTGAATGGGAAACAGAGAAAGTCGGGAAGGTCAAATTTTTTAAGTTGCGTTACAAACAATTCGCTCATTGGCAATAAAAAGTGATTTAAGGAGTGAGTGGAGATGACATCATGAGCTCACCATGCAGCTGTGTTCGGGGGCAAAGGTTACACCTTTCCCTGCTCTCTCCTGAGATCCACTGCTGCTGCCACTGACCGAGCTCTTCCTCATGATCCCTGAACCACAGACACAAATATATTATTATTTTATATTATCGTTAATGTAAACTTTATTATTCTGTTTTTCCCACAGGCTGCAGTGTGTCCTCTCACCTACAGGGGGCAGCATGTCCAGTCTCTGCAGGCTGTTTTTGCGAGACGGAGGGTAGTTTCCAGTCTTGGAGAGGCGGCGCTGGCGGTGGTTTAGCATGGCAGCTGGAGAGACAATGCCGGGGGGCGGGACTTTACCCACCCTCAGATAGAGCTCCTCAATCTCTCGCTTCTGATTGGACTGCAGGTTCTGCACCTCCGCCAGGTGTCTGGGATCAGGAAGGAAAGTTAAAAAAAAGATCCTAATAACAATGTTCATCTCAGTGTTCAGAAGTTATTTATTCCATTGAAATCATTACAGTAATTTAAGAAACATGCAACGACTAGTACACAACTCCATATAGAACAAAGAGTTTACACATTGTTTATTGATTATAGATTATTGATTGAATCAACCATATTTAGAACATAGTTCTAGGGTTATAGATATTTTCCATATTTCACAAATGTAGTTCCATGGTATTTGGGTAGAAACAGTTCCCTGTGGGTTCACATTATTCCACTGGCATTGTTTCAGTTCATTAAAACATTAAACAAACTCAATCAATATCACACTGTTTTCCATTGATCAGTTACCTCTTACGGAGCTCCTCCAGCTCCACCCACATCTCCTCATTCTCGCTCTCTGATTCGTCAGAGCTGACATAGGGTGCCGGGCGGCTCCTTGATTGGCCAAAGCTGCCACCGCTCATACCGGGGCTGCCGGTAAACCCCTCCCACAGGCTGATGCTCAGCCTCTGACCCCCCTTCCTTTTCTTCTCCTCCTCTTCCTCCTCCTCCTCCATCTTCCTCCTCCTCTCTTCCTCCTCCTGTCCTCCGGGGTTGTCATGGTAATGCAGAAGGTGTCCAGGTGGGGAGACCGTCACTGTGCTGATGCTGCTCTCGGATTCGCTCTGCTCCCCCGTGCTGCTGTCCGAGCTCTCTGATTGGTCCGGTCTGGAGGGAGGTGGTGAGTGGGCAGTGGGTGTGGCCTGACTGAGGGGGCGTGGCTCCTGAATACGCACAGCAGGAATATCTTTGGAGGGCGTCACCTGGAAACGACCAACGGTGAAGACTGAAGTTTTCTTCACTGAAAGAGAAACCAGAAGAAAGTCCTGAAGGTGTTACAGGAGAGAAAACGTTGGAAGAACTTTCATCTGTCCATTAAATGAAGGTACTGTGAATATTCACAGATCATTTCATATCAGTGGAGTCAGTCATCCAAGTCTCACTCTAAAACAAATTGTTGGTCGGATGGTGGACACACACACAGACAGGTATGTCTTACCCTCCTGTATGGGTGACAGTCCAGGTGAGGGGGGGGCAGGGGAGGACACCTGCACAAGAGGAAGAGCATCATCAATAAAAACATAAATAAAAATAATGTTTAATTTCATATTAACGGGTCAAAGACGTCTCCTCTGATTGTCTTACTCTGTTGTGACGACTCGAGACAAAGTCACAGAGCTCTCCTCTGGCTCTGGGAGCACTGGGAGCACTGGGAACACTGGGAGCACTGAGAGCACTGGGAACACTGGGAGCACTGGGAGCACTGGTCGAAACAGGAACAGTAGTCGGAACAGCAGCACTGGTCAGACTTTGACTGTTGGTCAGGCTGGGAGCAGAGACAGAGTTTGTACCTGTGAACCAGTTAAAGGATTAGTGAGTCTGTTCAGTCTGCTGTGATGTGTGATGTCACTCTGTGATGTCAGCGGGGACTCACCACGAGGGGGCGGAGCAAATCCGACCTTCAGCCGAACAGGACTGTGAGGCTGAAATTAAGGAACCAATAATTAATGAATGAATAAACCAGCTCTGTATAATCTGGTTACTGCTGCAGGTAAAGGTCCACGAGGAGCTCCTGAATGCACCATCAGCACAGGTAAGCACATGTTTAACAGACGCTCACCTGTCCTTGATGCTATTTCCTACCTGAGGTGCGTCTGGAGCCCAGCTGGATGGCGCCCCCTGCTGATAGGAGGGGGTGCTGTAGGACAGCTGGGAGGAGAAGGGAGCAGAGAAGGAGACATGGCTCGGAAGATGGAGCTTAGCACCCAGGGATGGAGACATGGGGGGGGGGGGAGCAGCCTGTGGGGAGGGGAACGGGGGAGACAGGGATTGGGGGTGAAAGCCCTGGTTGGGGGTCCCAGGTGGGGGCATGAAGGAGTGGGCCACACTCATGGCTAGAGAGAGTACATTAGCCAAAGAGAAGAGAGGTTGGTCCGGGGGGGGCCAGTGAGGAGGAGGAGGAGCTGAGGAAGAGGAGGTGGGGGTGAGGAGGGAGGGGTTACTGTGGACACGGTGGAGGCCAGTTGAGGAGTTCTGGGTGGGGAAGGGGTTGGAGTACGGGGAGTAAGGGGGAGATGGAAGGTGATACTGAGGAGGAGCAGCAGAGTCTGGGTGAGGGTAATGGAGGGGGTATGTGGGGGGCTGATGGGAGGAAGCTGCAGAGAGAAAGATGGGGAGGAGGGTGAGACACAATAACAATAACAACATTTGTTTATTAACATTAATAATATCATTATTGTTACTATTATATCGATCAAATAGACAGTCCAGACCTATGCCCTGTATCTAAAGCAATAACTTCTGACTTGTATCCGCCTGACCTCTGTAACTTAGATAATATTGTCAAATGGACTAAAAACTATTTATTTGCCTTTACTAAAACTTATGAAATAAAGTTAAAATGAATGATTTCAGCATTGGTAGTATTATATGGATCAAATATATATTATAGACCTCTATATACACTATATATGTGTAGTATAAATGTATATATTCTAAATATAATACTAAAAAAAGTCAATTGTATAGTCACTGTGGAATCTGAATGCCATTTGGAACATGATATCTACTATCCAAAGGTGTGTTTGCATGCAGATACATATACATGTATATACATATATACAGAATGCATGTTATTTGATTTTGCATATTTTGACCAATATACAGTGTTGGACTTTTATATAGATCATATGTTGCAGTGAGGCAAACTTTTGTCACAATTTCAAAAAAACAAAAGAAAAGAAACACAATTTTCTTAGAGATTTCCATCATCAGGATTCTAACATCTGACCAAGTGGAGAGTGCATCAACCTGGGCCCTGAACTCTAACTACTACTGATCACCCTGCTAAACCCCTGAGGGACGCCACAAGTAACTGAACACAGAGAACAAGATGGTTTATGTGTATCTGTTATATGAACAAATAGAAAAGGGGTTCATGTACCTGAGGAGGTGTGGAAAGACTGTGACCTCAGTGGTCTGACGGACGGGGTGGCCTCAGGGTCGATGTAGAAGTCTACTCCCTTCAGTGGGGACGGGTCCGCATCTGCAATGTCTGATGGGAAAACACATCAATTAATAATTCAGGCCATCTGATGCGAGTAAATTGGATCTATCTGAAAACTGCTGTCATATGATAAAATCTCAGTGGCATCACAAACTAATTTAAGAAGACAATAGCTGAGGTTGAAATCATTTTGAGTGGTTATATGGGATGTGAGCTATAAATATAATTTGGTGGTTGACACACAGTTCAGCCTGGTAGCTGCCACTAGTAGAGAGGGTTGTCCAGGCTCTTTTTGGGATTGTTGCGCCCTATAATGCCTGATTTCACGGCAGCTTTTCTACAAAAGGTTTTCGGTGTTGAAATTGCAGGACAAAATGAAAATTACAAAAATATTTGACATTATTAATGTGTTTTTATAGAATTCCTTAAAAATCTAAGGCAACTTGTTCCAGTAAGAATAAAATCGCACTGTTTGAATAGTAAATGTCAGACGCAGAAAGAAGGAAGTGAGTTTGATGACAGTATAACTCCCACAACAACTTGTGGTGATTTGATAAAATTGCACGTGTGTTAATTCTTGTGATCGCAACATTGCAACTTCCTGGAGTGGTTGTAATGTGTGCGCTGACAATAAAGTTAGTGACAGGAACAGACTACATGGTGTTAGCAGCTAATCAGTCCCTCCAGGGAATTTCAATATTGCAACTGCAACAAGTAACGCAAACCAATCCCTGTGAATTCTGCACAACCTTGCAATTTTGTCCAGTCACCACAAGTTTTCTGCAAATTTGACCATGATCATTGTAGTGTAAGTTTCACCGATCATAGCGGACCCCTTCACAATTTTGAATCATATGTCACTAAACTCCTCCTTGTTTCTAGTTGGGAAGATGCAGACGATAAAAACGTCACATTTACTAATAAAAATTACTGACTTCTTCCTTTTCCACTTTTTTCTGTATTTTTTGACATTTCTACCACAAAACACAAATCACCATGACAGAGGCTGTTGCATCCAGATCTATTACAAGAGCTGAAAAAATGTAGGTGAGTTAGATGGTATGGTTTGTGGTAACATTGGTGTAGTAACATATAAATCACAGTGATAGAGATGTGTTTGAAATAGGCCGCAACAATCCCAAAAAAAGCCCATGTAACCCTGGAAGGACTGACTATCTACTTCACTGAAGCTATTTGCTGTTCTACTTACAGGGATATGAGGTTATACAGCATCAGTGAACCAAATTCAGGAACACTCAGCTGCATTTGGGTTCAGTATTCTTCCTCCTTATCAAACTCTGTATCAGTATTTGTGCTGACTTTAGTTGATGACTTTTCTGATTCAGTACTTAAAAACATGTTTTTGGATCCGATTGTGAACTGTGTGACACATATCAAATCATCTGATCCAAACTTCTGAACCGATCTCTAAACTATCTTGTGTTTGGAAAACACTTCTCCCTCCACACTCCTTCCTTATTTTCTTACCAGGAAGTGAAGATGAGGACAGAGTTCTGGTGAGACCCTGTGCCGGTAGGTTTGGCTGAAAGAAGAATAAAACTAGTAAAAACATTTCTCAGTGTTTTCTGATTGATCAGGTAAATATTCCCTCGCACACCCACCGTGGACTCCATGGTGGTCAGGTGAGATAACCTATCAGTGTTGGCCGGCTGCAGTTGATGCATCATAGACTCCGCCCTCTGGATGATGTCGTACATGCGGAGGATGAATCCTTCTCGCTCTGACGGCAGGATGAAGTCTCTGTGCGTCTGAGACAGAAGAAAAAATGTGTAAAAATCGTAATAACAGAAACAAAATACAGAACAAGTGCTGAAAAGTTTCTATCACAAAGAATTTTAATCTCTTTATGTTTCATTTATTTCCAAATATATATTAATAAAATAAAATAAATGATATACAGAACAAACATCATCATTCATATCGTCTCAAATGCAACTGACCCTTCATAAGCCCTGCCCCTTTTTAATTCTGTGCTCCAACAACAGTTGAGCAACTTCCTCCTTCCCTGTACTTAGATATGCTACATGCTAAGCTAATCTATGTTGAAACAACCACATTTTGATGGTTAAAAGATAAAAGAGACATTATATATAGTGAGCTTCTGACTGAGGCTTGCTCAACTGTTATTCGTAGTTTTCAGTCAAGTGACTAACATACTAACGTACTAAAACAACGTACCAATATGGCGACTTACACTAGAAACCACAAATAAGGCATTTGAATAATAGCCATTAATTTTAACCATGAATATTTATATCACCTCTCAAAAGATGAAAAACAAAGATATGTGGACAAGCTGCAGGTTTTGGGTTGTTGTGATCCACATACAGAAGCCGCTGCAGTATTTATAGTATAAGTCACTGCCTGAGCTCCAGTTTGATCTTTAGATCTCTCTTATGGAGAATCCCTCCCCCCATACTGCCGCAGACTGAAAGCAGGGTTGAGATGTCCTCAGATCAATGAAGGCATTTTTAACTGATCCGATTGGCTATATTGAGCTTTATTGATCCCATCTTTTATTTTACATCAGCTCTCTCGCTGTCTGCCTCTCCACTGTGAGCTCTGTGGGAGAGACAGCGGTAGAGATCAGACACAACAAATGCCAATAAGAGGAATTAATTAATGTAATCCACCAAAAGATGTTGTTCAGGTCAATCTGGTGCTTCAGTGCAGCCAAACACTGGAGAGAGAATCTCCCTCCAGACAGCGACGAGGCACAAAGATTATAGAGAAGGTTTTATTGTGTAGAAGCACAATAATATCCTCCTCCTCCTCCTCCTCCTCCTCCTCCTCCTCCTCCTCCTCCTCCTCTGTTAGTGCATCCGATCACACAACAACTATCTGACATTATAAACCAGGTCTGTGTTCACGATCACTACCGTGGATAAATCCAGGCAGGAGTTTGAGAGGGTAAAGACGTCATATTCCAGGAGAAGCAGCGCTGTGCTCTGATTGGCTGCTGGTGCTCACCATCACAGAGGCGATGTCCTCCGGATTGTCTCCGTCCAGGTCGAACTTAAAGGTCACCATCTTACTGTTGTGAGTCTGCAGCTGGCACTCCACCACCCGGTCCACCATGTCTGACACCTGAGCGCGCGCACACACACACACACACACACACACACACACACACACACACTGTGTTATATATAAATACGTTATATATGATGTAATGTTTACTACCCTCACTCACCCCTATGATTTTCAGACGAGCCCTTGCTCTCCTCCTGAACTGCTTCGTAGCCGCCCATTTGACCGCTTCCTGGTTGCTCTTGTCTGATTGGCCATCATTGCCGTCACTCAAACCTGAGGTCACATCAGAGGCGTAGCTACAGACAGACAGACAGACAGACAGACAGACAGACAGACAGACAGATCCTGTGGTTTATATAGTGAGTATTCAGCTAATTTAGAATAAGATTGAGGTTAAGGTCATCCTGATGAATGCACAGAAACACACCTGCCTCTGTGTGCCTTACCTGTCGACAGGGGAGGAGAAGCCGCAGACCGATCCAGACGGTGGCCGCTCAGCATTGTGGGACACAGCGATGCTCTGGAGACAAACAGAAAGATTCGGACTGAACTGATCCAGAATCAGTTCCACCTTAGTGTCTCCTGATGATGACCTGCTTGTTTTCCCATGATTCAAAGGGAAGGTTGGTTGGTCTAAAGCTCTCTCAGGTCAGTACTGTTTTATGTCCTCTAGAGGGAGACAGAGATCCATCTCTCCAACATCAACACACCTGCTGCATGTTCACCTGTACACCTCGACAATTACTTCAGTTATCAATTAATACAATTATTTAATGAATATACGTCAGATTATATACTTAAACTTACTGTAGATAAGAAAACAAATACTGTTGGTGTGTCTTGGTGTGTACAGTACATAACAACACTCGGATAAGAACAAAGGTAATTAGTGGTGGAAGAAGTAAAAGTATCAGTACCGCACTGTGAAAATACTGCATTCAGAATATTAGTTACAGATTAGTTATTCTGCTTTACTTCAGTTTCTGTCACATATATAAAGTTCCAATGTTGATATTAAACAATGTTACCTTGGGGAAACGCAGCACAGGGAGGGGCGGGCCTTTGAATGGAGCTCGGGTCACATGGAGAGGAACAGCTTCACGTCGAGGAGTCTTCTGGGCCACCGGAGCAGGGGCGGGGATAGAAAGTAGGGGGGCGGGGTTTGTGACTGGAGGGGGCGTGGTTTCAACCTTATCTGGGACCCCAAAGGAACCGAAGGAGGTGTCCATCTCACAGTCCGCTGCCATGGCAACCAGAGACGAAGAGATGTGAAAATTAATTATATGAGTAATTGATATACAATTTCTAATAAAATTATAAATAATATAAACAATAATATAACAAATGCAAATTATATAGAAATAATATAATAATATGCTGACATGTAGTGGAGGAGTATGAGGTATGTTTGGAGATCTTGTCGTCCTCCTCGTCTCTGTCTCCGTCTCCGTCTCCTTCCGTCCGACTGGAGACGCTGCCGATCCCAGAATCCACCGGGCTGCTCCATGACAGCGTCGAAGATGTCGTCCTTAAAGAGGGCGGGGCTTGGATCCAGGCAGGGAAGGGCTGTGAGTTAAGACATGAGGACTACTCACTGGCTAATCAATTAATCAAATAATAATAATATATTTGAAGGCAGGTGACTGGTTAAATGTCACTGTCATCAAATGAAAGTAGTTCCTGGTTTTAACTGAAATCCATATTAAAGATTGAGAGCTGAGGAAGGTTCAAATGAAACCTTTCTGACTGTAGGAGTAAACGCTGCCAGCAGGAGGCGCTGTGTGTCACCAGCTTCAAACACACCTGACTGGCCACCTTTCCAGCAGACGAGCTCGTGGCGGCTGCAGACTTCTGATTGGCCGCTTCAGGTGACTGGGGGGCGGGATCAGATTCTTCCTCGATGACGGCTTCCTTCTGGCGGTTCTCCTCCAGCAGGCGGTGCTGTTTCTCCCGCTGACGCTTTATGGCCGTCACTCTGTGTCTGATCGCCATGGCAACAAGCTTATAGTCCGCCTCACACACAAATCCCAACACCACCTGAGAGACAGACAGAGAGAGAGACAGAGAGAGAGAGAGAGAGACAGTTGAGACTTAACCTGTTGGCCTGCGGGGTGATGTCATCGGCGCGGTGCTGTGGGTACCATCTCCTGGGCGACCTCCTCGGGGACGTCTTTGTACAGCTCAAACAGGAACTCGATGGCGTTGTTGTCTTTGTATTTCCCGTGGAGCTTCTTGTTCCCGTCCATCCTGAGCCAGAGCTTCAGCGCTGCCTTCGAGCCATCATCGTCCTCGGCCAGATCCACGTGGACTCCCACCTGCTCCTGGAAGAACCGGTGATCCAGCAGGTCCTGAACCGTGAACCTGCGGGAGGAGACCGAGAGACTGATGATCATCATCCCACAGGTGTCTAAAGGGGTTAGGGTTTTTCCATTGCCAAAAATTTAGCCTAAATCTGGAATGGATTATTTAGCCTCCTTCCAGACAAGCTAGCATGACGTATTTGGTACCACTGGATGCGTTGGGTCTTCTAGTTCTAGAACCAGTAGTAGGAGAGTTTGAACTACTTTTGAACAGCAACTAAAATTCTCCGGTAGCCGCTTTTTTAATTACACAGTCTATGGTAGCTTTATATATCATCCTCTTCATCATGTGCTTTCAGCTGTTGGTTTGTTAGTTTGGTAGAGATCAAATGAACTGAACGAGTGTGAAAGAGAATTAAAAGGTGTACATGCTGTGCTTTGATTGGTCACGTTACCTCTCATTGCTGTTGGTTCGAATGCAGCCTTCAATGATCTCCTTCAGCTCGGGGACTTTCACTTTGGAGAAACTATTGGGTTTGATTCCCTGAGAAACAAACACAGAGTCAAACACACAAAGACAGGAAGCAGTCAGCACTCGCTCGGGTGGGTGGAGCCTTACGTTGGTGACTTTGCGGTAGATCTGGGCGGCGTTGTGACACTCGGAATACGGATACTCAGACGTCGCCATCTCCAGCATGCACATGCCGAAGGCGTAAACGTCCACAGCCTCATCGTACTTCTCCTCATACATCTCCGGAGCCATGAACTCTGGGGTCCCTGAACACATCACCAGTCACAACATGAGGTACAACAGAAATCTGACTCACAGATTGATGTTTGCAGTAATTAAAAATTAACAGTTTCAAACCCAACAGTTTTTATCCTGCTGGCTCTCCGTACTCGCTGTGTTCTTACCAATGACACTCTTAGCGAACGAGGCCTTCTTGAGCGTGGCGAGACCCAGGTCTCCGATCTTGACGGAGGCGGAGGGTCCAGTTATGAAGACGTTGTCACACTTGAGGTCTCGGTGCAGGATGGGGGGGCAGCGTGAGTGCAAGAACTGCAGCCCCTTCAGGATCTGGAAGCTCCAACGCTGCAGCAGCTTCAGCTTCATCTGACGGAACCTGCGCAGGTACCTGAAGTGGTTGAATGGAGACAGGTGAGCTGCAGGAACGGGCATTCAGGAAGTGAAATGTTTTTTTTTATGTATTTTAACCACTTTGTGACTTCTTTTAAAAAAAATACTCCACAGTAATACAACAGGACCTCAGATGGATCCTTGAGGAACTCCACTGTACAAAGCAGCCATAGAGGACCAGAAATTGAAACATTAAAGGTTCCATATATATGATCCTGAAGCATATTCTGTATTATGTCTCTATAATAATCAGATTATTGATCAGCAGACAGTGAACAGGTTGTAGTGGAGCTTTGTTCCTCTGCTGTCTGTGGACTGATCTCTATGTGTCTCTATGTAGGATGAGGGTCAAAGGTTGTGACCTTTATGCTCCCGAGTGCCAACAGTGGGCAACACTAGCTAACGTTAGCTTATAAATGGAGTCCGCTAACGTCTACAAACACAGAGTCCAACACAGAGTCCAACACAGAGTCCACAACACAGAGTCCAACACAGAGTCCACAACACAGAGTCCAACACAGAGTCCACAACACAGAGTCCAACACAGAGTCCACAACACAGAGTCCACAACACAGAGTCCACAACACAGAGTCCAACACAGAGTCCACAACACAGAGTCCAACACAGAGTCCACAACACAGAGTCCAACACAGAGTCCAACACAGAGTCCAACACAGAGTCCACAACAGAGTCCACAACACAGAGTCCAACACAGAGTCACAACACAGAGTCCAACACAGAGTCCACAACACAGAGTCCAACACAGAGTCCACAACACAGAGTCCACAACACAGAGTCCAACACAGAGTCCAACACAGAGTCCACAACACAGAGTCCAACACAGAGTCCACAACACAGAGTCCACAACACAGAGTCCAACACAGAGTCACACGTACAACAGAGTCCACAACACAGAGTCCAACACAGAGTCCAACACAGAGTCCACAACACAGAGTCCAACACAGAGTCCAACACAGAGTCCAACACAGAGTCCACAACACAGAGTCCACAACACAGAGTCCAACAACACAGAGTCCACAACACAGAGTCCACAACACAGAGTCCAACACAGAGTCCACAACACAGAGTCCACAACACAGAGTCCAACAACACAGAGTCCACAACACAGAGTCCACAACACAGAGTCCAACACAGAGTCCAACACAGAGTCCACAACATAGAGTCCACAACACAGAGTCCAACACAGAGTCCACAACACAGAGTCCAACACAGAGTCCAACACAGAGCCCAACACAGAGTCCACAACACAGAGTCCAACACAGAGTCCACAACACAGAGTCCAACACAGAGTCCAACACAGAGTCCAACACAGAGTCCAAAGTCAAAGCTAACATTACTGCAAAGCTTGTGGAACATATTGTCTGATTGTGCTGTTAGCTGGATAACGAGCTAGTTAGTAGCATAGAACTAACGGTGCAAATAAAATATAGGAACACTGCAGATTGTAACGTTATTCAAAATATGATTGTCAGTTATTTTACAGCTTTCAGTGTTTGTCACTGTTGGCCGACGCCCAGGACGCTGACTGCAGTTCACTGAAAAGCCACTGGTGGCGCTGTTAGCTACAGTTCACTGAACGTCACATAGAGAAGCTTTAATACATTGTGAAAGCGATTAATGACTATAATCTATTGATCAACAGTCAGAAGAGGGAAGATAAGGTCAGCAGCATCTTGAACAAATTATATATCGTTAATAAGATTTAGTATACTTTATTTTTGATTTAATTGCTTTGTTTTAGAATGGGAATGTATTTAATATTTTAATAGCAGCTTGTTTGAAATGCTCCAGAAACTACTGACAAGAATGAAAAACAACCTGAAACCACAAACACAAACTCTGCACTCAAAACCAGGACAGATAGTTCAGGTCCAGGTCTAGGTTTTGTCTTAGATTGTGGACTCACGTCTTGAGGGTCCCGGACGTCATGAGCTCCGTCACCAGGATGGTGCATTTGTGGCCCCTCAGCGTGGACTTCCAGGAGTCAAAGAAGCGGACGATGTTTGGATGCTGCAGAGCTTTCAGCATCTCCACCTCTTCGTTGAACCTCTGACGCTCCATCTTATTCAGACGGTGAGTCTGATTGGTTGGAGAAGATCAATTAACACATTAATCAGCTGATACTCACTCACCTGGAGAACCGTCTCATATTACTGCAGAGCATGATGGGAACTCAGCACACACACACACACACACACACACACACACACACACACACACACACACATATATATATATATAAATGTATTAAATTAAAACTTAAGTCAAATAAAATAGAATAAAAATATTAAATAAAAACAATATAAAATGAAATAAAACAAAATAAAGGAAAATAATTAAAATAAAATGTAATGCAATGTAAAATTATATTAAATATATAAAATTAAAAATTAAAAGATCATAAAATACAATTAAAATTAAAATTACTGTTTTAATGTCACTTATAACATTAACATTTAATCTGTTTTTGTTGTACTTTCTTTTTCTGCTTCAGTTCTCATGTTCAGTTTATAAAATTAAATAAAAAATGGGTTCTTACAATCGAAAATATATAATTATTAACTGTCAGGAAACGTTACAGATCATCAGGAACAAACCTGTGACATCATTCATCCAGAAAATATAAACATAAAGAGGTTGAGTACCATAAACAAACAACAGGAAGTTCAACGCAGAGGGCTGACCTTTGACCTCATAAACTCTGTGTGTGTGTGTGTGTGTGTGTGTGTGTGTGTGTGTGTGTGTGCGTGTGTGTGTGTGTGTGTTGTTATCAACATCAACCAGCAGCCGTCTGTCCAATCAGATACTGTTACTGTGTACAGTATAACAAACTGCTGCGTCAGCAGTAACACTATCTCTCTCTCTCTCTCTTTCTCTCTCTCACACACACGGATGTCTTACTGATTCAGTAAAAACTCCCCAGTACGAATACAATAAATAATAAACAATAAATGATAACATATAAAGCTGTAATAATAAAGTTGTAACAATAACAGTATAAAGCTGGAATAATAACAGTATAAAGCTGTAATATTAACAGTATAAAGCTGGAATAATAACAGTATAAAGCTGGAATAATAACAGTATAAAGCTGGAATAATAACAGTATAAAGCTGTAATATTAACAGTATAAAGCTGGAATATTAACAGTATAAAGCTGGAATAATAACAATATAAAGCTGGAATAATAAAGCTGTAACAATAACAATATAAAGCTGTAATGATAAAGCTGGACTAATAACAGTATAAAGCTGTAATATTAACAGTATAAAGCTGTAATAATAACAGTATAAAGCTGTAATAATAACAGTATAAAGCTGTAATAATAACAGTATAAAGCTGGAATATTAACAGTATAAAGCTGGAATATTAACAGTATAAAGCTGGAATAATAACAGTATAAAGCTGGAATAATAACAGTATAAAGCTGTAATATTAACAGTATAAAGCTGGAATAATTACAGTATAAAGCTGGAATAATAACAGTTTAAAGCTGTAATATTAACAGTATAAAGCTGGAATAATAACAATATAAAGCTGGAATAATAAAGCTGTAACAATAACAATATAAAGCTGTAATGATAAAGCTGGAATAATAACAGTATAAAACAGGACAATTTCTCTTAATTCCAGGGATCTCTCTGTTGTCTCTGTTTCTGCTGTTTTTCTGCCACCACGATGCACAACTGACTGAGAAATTAGTCGACTTTGGAATTCTAAACAGTTTCCTGATGAGTTTCTGGTCTCAGTCTCTAGTTTCAGTCTTCTTCCATACAGCATGATGTTCATTTATGAAATGATGGTCCATTTAGAGTAAAATAGACCATAAAGCAATGGTTTCCAACCTGGGAAAACTGCTGGGGGTCGCAAGGCTTTCTTGATTTTAAGGCATGTTAGAAAACTTAAATAACACACACAGTCGACCTATGTCTCAGCATTTGGTTCTCTTCTGTGAATAAGATCAGTAAGTTGTATAATAGATCAATTACTGAGCATCAGGGAAGAGAAAACTATTAATTTGTCAGAAAATAATCCTATTAAGTCTGTATGATCATTAAAAATGATAAAAAATACAGAACACAGACAGAGAATTGTCTAAAAAGAGAAAAAAATCTGCTGAAAATTAATAAAATCTCTGGATTTACACAAACTTCCTGCAGTTACTGAGTTCACTGTTTATGTTCATTGTACAGTTTTGGATTTAATATAAAATATCCATAAAATCTGTCACTTAAGCAGGTCATCAGTTTACCAAATTATAGAAAATAGGCTGATAGAACAATGGGGGACGACAGACAAACACAGGAGGACTGAAAATGATGGTGAGACACCTTCATAATGAAATGTCCTCACAGTGATACAAGTTAATGAGTGTGTGTGTTAAATATTTACTCTCATCTGCTATCACTGCACTTCCTCATTCTCAGCCAATCAGAGCTCAGCGTCAGTGTCCAATAAAACTATAAAGTCTGCTTCAAAGCTGAGAAACACTCTGATAACAGACACATACACGTTTACTTAGCTCACTTCTGGGGACGTTACATAGACACTCATATCCTGGAGACCGACCCTTAACCTTTGACCCTGAAGTCCACAGTGAACAGGACCAAAATCAATCTAAAAACAGGTTGGACGACATGTTTCCTCGAAAGTCTTTGTGATAGTTCATGTTTATTTCTGCAGTTTAATATGGGGCCTTATGTAGACCGACTCACTGCTGGAGCCTCTAGTGGCTGTTTGGGGAACTACAGGTGTCCATATGCAGCGTGCTGTGACTTATAATCTGAAAGGTTCTGTATAAATGAACACGTACTTCCTGTTGAGTCTGTTGGTCTAATCTGCCCTTGAATCTGCTCAGTGTCCACGACAACAACCAATGTTACCATGACGACAGGTCTGACGTTAATTAAAAAGTTATTAGAAACACACACATGATGCGTGAGAGTGTGAAGCAGATTCTAATCAATAATCAAATATGTTCCTGTCGGTCTGGAGGTCTTACTCTAAACCACGTGTTTGTCAAACAGAAAGTTGTCAGAGGTTATGATGAGCTCTGGTTACAGGAAGTCTCCTTCATAAACAGTCTGCAATGTAGAGCTCTGTGCTTTATAATGCAGCAGTCTACAGTGTAGAGCTCTGTGCTTTATAATGCAGCAGTCTACAGTGTAGAGCTTTATTTGTTATAATGCAGCGGTCTACAGTGTAGAGCTCTGTACTTTATAATGCAGCAGTCTGCAGTGTAGAGCTCTGTGCTTTATAGTGCAGCAATCTACAGTGTAGAGCTCTATTTGTTATAATGCGGCAGTCTACAATGTCGAGCTCTATTTGTTATAATGCAGCTGTCTACAGTGTAGACCTCTGTGCTCTATAATGCAGCAGTCTACAGTGTAGAGCTCTGTGCTCTATAGTGCAGCAGTCTACAGTGTAAAGCTCTGTGCGTTATAATGCAGCAGTCTACAGTGTAGAGCTCTGTGCTTTATAATGCAGCAGTCTACAGTGTAGAGCTCTGTGCTTTATAATGCAGCAGTCTACAGTGTAGAGCTTTATTTGTTATAATGCAGCGGTCTACAGTGTAGAGCTCTGTACTTTATAATGCAGCAGTCTGCAGTGTAGAGCTCTGTGCTTTATAGTGCAGCAATCTACAGTGTAGAGCTCTATTTGTTATAATGCGGCAGTCTACAATGTCGAGCTCTATTTGTTATAATGCAGCTGTCTACAGTGTAGACCTCTGTGCTCTATAATGCAGCAGTCTACAGTGTAGAGCTCTGTGCTCTATAGTGCAGCAGTCTACAGTGTAAAGCTCTGTGCGTTATAATGCAGCAGTCTACAGTGTAGAGCTCTGTGCTTTATAATGCAGCAGTCTACAGTGTAGAGCTCTGTGTTTTATAGTGCAGCAGTCTGCAGTGTAGAGCTCTGTGCTTTATAGTGCAGCAGTCTGCAATGTAGAGCTCTGTGTATTATAATGCAGCAGTCTACAGTGTAGAGCTCTGTACTTTATAATGCAGCAGTCTACAATGTAGAGCTCTATTTGTTATAATGCAGCAGTCTACAGTGTAGAGCTCTGTGCTTTATAATGCAGCAGTCTACAGTGTAGAGCTCTGTGCTTTATAATGCATAAGTCTACACTGTAGAGCTCTATTTGTTATAATGCAGCTCTGTGCTTTATAGTGCAGCAGTCTACAGTGTAGAACTCTATTTGTTATAATGCAGCTCTGTGCTTTATAGTGCAGCAGTCTACAGTGTAGAGCTCTGTGCTTTATAATGCAGCAGTCTACAGTGTAGAGCTCTATTTGTTATAATGCAGCTCTGTGCTTTATAGTGCAGCAGTCTACAGTGTAGAGCTCTGTGCTTTATAATGCAGTAGTCTACAGTGTAGAGCTCTGTGCTTTATAATGCAGCAGTCTACAGTGTAGAGCTCTGTTGTGTACAGTGTGTAAAATAAAGAATATAGAGTGTAAAATAGTGTATAAAAGTATTAAAAAAATTTTTTTTTTTTTAAAAAATTTTATAGTTAGTTTTTTTTTTTTTTTTTTTTATTTTTTTTTTTTTCAGTGTGTATTGTTGTGCGTGTGTATTGTTGTGTCAGTGTGTAGTTTGTATTTTGTGTATAATATTATATGTATACAGTGTGTATTGTTGTATACAGTGTGTATTGTTGTGTACAGTGTGTAGTACAGTGCGTATTGTTGTATACAGTGTGTAGTACAGTGTGTATTGTTGTGTACAGTGTGTAGTACAGTGTGTAGTACAGTGTGTATTGTTGTGTACAGTGTGAAATACAGTGTGTATTGTTGTATACAGTGTGTAGTACAGTGTGTATTGTTGTATACAGTGTGTAGTACAGTGTGTATTGTTGTGTACAGTGTGTAGTACAGTGCGTATTGTTGTATACAGTGTGTAGTACAGTGTGTATTGTTGTGTACAGTGTGTAGTACAGTGTGTAGTACAGTGTTTATTGTTGTGTACAGTGTGAAATACAGTGTGTATTGTTGTATACAGTGTGTAGTACAGTGTGTATTGTTGTGTACAGTGTGTAGTATAGTGTGTAGTACAGTGTGTATTGTTGTGTACAGTGTGTAGTATAGTGTGTAGTACAGTGTGTATTGTTGTGTACAGTGTGTATTTGTATACAGTGTGTAGTACAGTGTGTATTGTTGTGTACAGTGTGTATTGTTGTATACAGTGTGTAGTACAGTGTGTATTGTTGTGTACAGTGTGTAGTACAGTGTGTATTGTTGTATACAGTGTGTAGTACAGTGTGTATTGTTGTGTACAGTGTGTAGTACAGTGTGTATTGTTGTATACAGTGTGTGTTACCTGTAGCTCACACCAGGCCACCTCCACCGTTGTCTCCGTGTCCAGTCCTTTATAAACGGCCTTGAAGGACCCGCGTCCGATCTCGATGTTGAACTTGAGGAATCGTCCGTCAGGAGATGACGCCACTGCCTGCGTCTCCTTTTCGTCGTGCTCCTCCTCCTCTTCCTCCCTCTGTTGCCATGGTGACGTCTCCCTGTTGGCGTCCGAGAGGGTGGCTGTCGTCTCCTCTGAGGATTCTGAGCTCACGTCCTGATTGGATGGAGGGTTCGCTGCAGCCTCTAATTGGACATCTGAGGTTGGCATGGTAACGAGAGGAAGAGGAGTAGTCTGTTTCTCCTCCTCTTCTTCTTCAGGTCTTTTCTTGGTTTGGTAGTCAGTGGTCCGAGGCAGCATCCTCCTCCTCCTCTTCTTCCTCCTCCTCCTCCTCCTCCCTCCTCCTCTTCCTCCTCTTCCTCCTCTTCCTCTTCCTCCTCTTCCTCCTCCTCAGTGAGTCGTCAGTCCAGGTTGACCAGGTTGTGTCTGCAGTGTCACTGGTTCGAGTCCCTCAGGGTGACATCAGAGGAGCTGCCAGAGCGTTATTGATTCATTCATATGTTCATATTGTATTGATCGATCTGAAATAATCAATAGATTAAATAATCTATAACTAAATAACTAACGATATTAAATTATAATCAATTATATGATATTGTGTTATATTATATTATATTACATTATATTATATTGTATCATATTATATTACATTATATTATATTGTATCATATTATATTACATTATATTATATTATATTATATTACATTATATTATATTGTATCATATTATAATACATTATATTATATTATATTATATTACATTATATTATATTATATTACATTATATTACATTATATTATATTACATTATATTATATTATATTACATTATATTACATTATATTATATTACATTATATTATATTATATTATATTACATTATATTATATTTTGTTATATTACATCATATTATATTACATTATATTACATTATATTATATTATATTACATTATATTATATTTTGTTATATTACATCATATTATATTACATTATATTACATTATATTATATTACATTATATTACATTATATTATATTACATTACATTATATTACATTATATTATATTACATTACATTACATTACATTATATAATATTATATTATATAACATTATGTTACATTATATTATATCATATTATATTATATTACATTATATTACATTATATTATATTACATTACATTACATTACATTATATAATATTATATTATATAACATTATATTACATTATATTATATCATATTATATTAAATTACATTATATTACATTATATTATATTACATTACATTACATTACATTATATAATATTATATTATATAACATTATGTTACATTATATTATATTATATTACATTATATTATATTATGTTACATTATATTACATTATGTTACATTATATTATATTATATTATATTACATTATGTTATATTTTGTTATATTATATTATGTTACATTATATTATATTATATTACATTATATTATATTATATCATAATATATTATATTATATTACATTACATTATATTATATTACATGACATTACATTACATTATATTATATTATATTACATTATGTTATATTTTGTTATATTATATTATGTTACATTATATTATATTATATTTTACTATATTATATTACATCATAATATATTATATTATATTATATTATATTACATTACATTACATTACATTATATTATATTACATTATGTTATATTTTGTTATATTATATTATGTTACATTATATTATATTATATTATACTATATTATATTACATCATAATATATTATATTATATTATATTACATTATATTATATTATATTATATTACATTATATTATATTTTGTTATATTATATTATGTTACATTATATTATATTATATTATATTACATCATAATATATTATATTATATTATATTACATTATATTATATTATATTAAATTATATTATATTATATTATATTACATTATATTACATTACATTATATTATATTAATTATGTTATATTTTGTTATATTATATTATGTTACATTATATTATATTATATTACATTATATTATATTATATCATATATTTATATTATATTATATTATATTATATTATAATACATGACATTACATTACATTATATTATATTACATGACATTACATTACATTATATTATATTATATTACATTATGTTATATTTTGTTATATTATATTATGTTACATTATATTATATTATATTATACTATATTATATTACATCATAATATATTATATTATATTATATTATATTACATTACATTACATTACATTATATTATATTACATTATGTTATATTTTGTTATATTATATTATGTTACATTATATTATATTATACTATATTATATTACATCATAATATATTATATTATATTATATTACATTATATTATATTATATTATATTACATTATATTATATTTTGTTATATTATATTATGTTACATTATATTATATTATATTATATTACATCATAATATATTATATTATATTATATTACATTATATTACATTACATTACATTACATTATATTATATTACATTATGTTATATTTTGTTATATTATATTATGTTACATTATATTATATTATATTATACTATATTATGTTACATCATAATATATTATATTATATTATATTACATCATAATATATTATATTATATTATATTACATTATATTATATTATATTATATTACATTATATTATATTATATTATATTACATTATATTACATTACATTACATTACATTACATTATATTATATTACATTATGTTATATTTTGTTATATTATATTATGTTACATTATATTATATTATATTATACTATATTATATTACATCATAATATATTATATTATATTATATTATATTATATTACATTACATTATATTATATTATATTATATTACATTACATTACATTATATTACATTATATTATATTATATTACATTATATTATATTATATTATATTACATTATATTATATTATATTATATTACATTATATTATATTATATTATATTATATTACATTATATTATATTATATTATATTACATTATATTATATTATATTATATTATATTATATTATATTACATTATATTATATTATATTACATTATATTATATTATATTGTGTTATATTATGTTACATTGTGTTATTATTAGATGACATTCAGTGTGTGTTGGACTCACAGTATCAGCAGCAGCAGTGAGTTAATGAGGCTGAACGGAAGAACTGGAACCAGTAAAACCACAAACAGAAACCAGTTGAGCTCCAGCAGCAGCAGCAGACCCGCAGAGGATCTTTAAAGTCCAGGTTCAACCAGGGTCCGCTGGAGTCCGGGTCCCTCTGAGCTCACAACAAAGTACTTAAAAGTTGCACCAGCGTGAGACTTCTCCTCCTTCTCCTCCTTCTTCTTCCTCTTCTTCCTCTTCGTGTTGTTTGTGTAAACTCATCTCTCCGCGCGCTGCTCGCTGCGTGAGAGCACGAGCTCTATCAGCAGAGAACAGACGGCACGAGCTGCAGCAAGCCCCGCCCCCCGGCACCTGTCACCTGCCTGCCACCGGAACATCCTCAGCCTTTAGTTTGAAAGGTTGTATACGGAAGTACTTCCTGCAGCTGCTCGTGCTGCTCTTTGATTGGTGGAGGCTGTGCCTGCAGACATTACTGAGGGTTTAACACACACATCATTATTAAATTCATCACTTTATTTACACATTATTTATTAGATTATTTATTTATGTGATACTGTTTTATTATATATTTCCACTGTTTATTATCTACTATTAATTAATATCGATTTATATTTGTTATATTTTATAATAACTATTACAGTTATTCACATTCAAAGTATTATTTTTGTTTTTATTATTATGAGACAGTATTTTATTATAAAAATATAAAGACATTATTATGATTATTATTAGCACATAACAATTATTATTGTTATTATTATCATTATTTATGTATTTGTGTTTATTACTTTTATAAATACATTTTGTGTTTGTTTTGTTTTCGTTTCTTAAATCATTTATTTATTTATTGCTCTGACATAACTTTTATATTTATATACTTTTATTTATCATTTATTTTTATTATTTCCTACATTCATCACACATATTTGCTGTATTTTTATTATTAATGTATTCAGAGGAGGAGGAGACTCGTTTGTTCCTCCTCCTTCAGTCTGATGGACAGATGCTGCCACCTCGTCCTCTTCTTCCTCTCCTCCTCCTCCTCTTCCTCCTCTTCTCGTCTTCCTCTCCTCTTCCTCTTCCTCTGTTAAAGAGCACCAACAGGTGAGTACATCCTCTCTGTCTCATTCTGTTTGCAGACTCACTTGCAGTCAATCTATTTATGACTATAATTGATTATTTACAAATGTTTTTATTCACGTCCTCGTTGTTACTTTGTGTCAAACAGCCGTTATTAGAAATCAATCAGATTATTTTTATTTAAAATCATTCAAATGTTTGAATTATTAAATAATAATAATAATAATAATAATAATAATAATACATGTATTTTATATAGCGCTATTAAAAGTAACAAAAGACAATATCAGAAAAACCGACAACTGTAAACAACTGTAAACTGTAAACCACTGTAAACTGTAAACAACTGCAAACCACTGTAAACAACTATAAACAACTGTAAACAACTGTAAACTGTAAACCACTGTAAACTGTAAACAACTGTAAACCACTGTAAACAATTATAAACAACTGTAAACAATTATAAACAACTGTAAACAACTGTAAACCACTGTAAACAATTATAAACAACTGTAAACAACTGTAAACAATTATAAACAACTGTAAACAGGAGTAAAAAAGTTAAACATGATAAAAACAAACAGAAGGTGTTTCTTTACTTTATCTCATGTTCTGTATCTGTGAAAATATTATATAAATGATAATAATATATAAATCATAATGTTTAGTATCTGTGATAATAATATATACATTATAATGTTATATAATTATAATAATATATAAATGATAATGTTATATAAATTATAATAATATATAAATCATAATGTTTAGTATCTGTGATAATAATATATAAATGATAATGTTATATAAATTATAATAATATATAAATGATAATGTTATATAAATTATAATAATATATAAATGATAATGTTATATAAATTATAATAATATATAAATTATAATAATATATAAATGATAATGTTATATAAATTATAATAATATATAAATTATAATAATACATAAATGATAATGTTATATAAATTATAATAATTAAATTATAATTTATGTAATGTTATATAATTATAATAATATATAAATGATAATGTTATATAAATTATAATAATATATAAATGATAATGTTTTGCGACCGTATAAATAATCCAAACTTCAGTAGAATACATTTGAATGAAGGAATAATAAAATCTGTCCCACTCAGACACAACCTGCTCCTTTAATCCCAGTCTGAGGATTATTCTCTCTCTGTATTAATCTGTCTTCTGACCCCTCTTCATCCTCGTCATCTTCCTCATCCCTCTCTGTCTCACTCTGTCCTTATTTCTCTCCATCTGTCTGTTATTGTCCAAGAATATGGATTTATTTTCTTTATAAATAACATTTGTAATCATATATCATGTATCATTGGCCTTTTTCACATTCAGTAGTTGGATAAACTCTCCAATGAAACCTAACAAAGTTCCATTCGGGTCAAACACAGTGAGGTTGTTTCAGTGTCTCTGTCCGTCCTCCAGTGTCAGTCCTCGTTCTTCAGCTTTCTGTGATTCAGAGTTTCCTGATGGACAGATATCTTTAGCTAAAGTAGCTAACTGCTGATTAGCTGCTGCTAACTGTATCTGCTGTTAGCGGGTAACAGAACCGGGCTCAGCAGCCGGACCGGGACCAGCAGAGCCCGCGGAGACGATGCAGTCGATGGTTTGAACTCATAACTTGTTTTTCTGTCATCTCACTTCTCAGGCAGATTCAAAATGGCCACCGGTGACTGAACACAATGTCCCACACTGTGAGTCCTCCACTGCCCTCTTCTTCTTCTGTGGTGGGCCCGCCACAGAGGATGAACCTTCTTCTTCTTCTTCTTCTTCTTCTTCTTCTGATCCCTCCCAACCTGGTGATGACATCATCAGTTACCGTGGCCCTACGGCGCCGTGGTAACAGAGTCTCTGCCAACATCTGCCAGCGCTCTGAGATGCCAGACGGAGGACTGACGGTCCGCTGCGGTGGACTGAGACTCACTCAGGTGTGTGTGTGTGTGTCTGGTCTTCATTATGTTGTGGGGACACGTAGCACTCGGTGCATTGTGGGGACTCTCCTCCCATCTGAGGACCAATGTTGCTATTAAGTAGCAGCAGGAACATTAATGTTCAGTCTCGTGTTTGTCAATGTGAAGTTCCTAAAATCTGGAATTGTTTCTTTAATAATATTATTCAGTTGTACATTAGCTCTGTAGCTAACACATGTTGGTTCATTAGCAATCAACCTGTGGTTTAATGAATGTAATAAAATGTATACATGATAGGAGCATTAAGATTCACATTAGCGTGCTTACCAAAGTTAGCATAGCTCGTCCCCCAGGTTGTTTGTGATCAGTGTGGAATCCAGTATTTGTGCTAAGCTAGACTAAACAATAACTACTTATCTCTGTAGTTTTGATGTTTAACCTGCTCAGGTGTTTGTTTCTGCAGGTACCTGTCGAGCTCTCTAACTTCACCATCCGTCTGTTTCTGGATAAAAACCTGCTCCGCTCTCTGCCCGCCGACTCTTTCCTGGATCTGTTCCTGCTCGATGAGCTCAACCTGTCGCACAACCAGCTCTCCTCACTGGAAGCCGGTTGTTTCCGTGGTTTGGCGTCCTCGCTTCGTTTCCTAGACCTCTCGTCCAATCGGCTGTCTACGTTGGATCCGGCGGCACTCGGTGGCCTGCATGCTCACGCCAACCTCACACACAACCCCTGGCACTGTGACTGTCGGATGCAGGTGAGTTTCATCATTTACATTAACATGGGCTTTAACTTTAACCCCTAACCCTTTACAACTTCCTGAACTTGTCCGTCCTCTGGGGTCGCACTAAATCTGAAGCTAGCACGTACCAAGTCAAGTTATCATGCTAGAAGACTGAGGCTATAGCTAACACATGCCAATACATATGACATTAACAGGAGCTTTCTGGGGCTTAGACAGCGAGGGAGTTCATTTACTCAAAGTAAACTCAACCTTTTGGAGCATTTCATCGTTGAGACGTAGAGTTTCTGTTTTATTCCTGTTTGTGTTCAGCTGTTGACGCCTCAGTTGGATCTGGACCCATCGTCTCTGGCTGAAGTCGTCTGTCAAACCTCTGACCTCCCAAACCTCGGTACGTTTACATTCGTCAGCCAATCAGTGTGCTAACGTTACATTCTTTATCTTCTTTGTTTATGTTACCGTTTTGTACATTTTGTAAAAAATGTATTCCAATTCAAAATCTGTTTATTTGTCTTTTTATATAAAATTACGTCAGCATGAACTAACAGATTTCAACCAATAATATCATCACATTCACCCGTCAATCAATCTTCAACTTTTAGTGAGCAGAGAGAAAATTTTTTAGTTAGCTAGCTAACTAAAACCCTCCCTAACTCACTAATTATTATAAAAAAAAAAATTTATTAAAAATAAAAAAAAAAAAAAATTTATTAAAAAATATTACAAACACAACTTTATTAACACTGTACAAACACAACTTTATTATTAAAATTATTAACACTGTACAAACACACAACTTTATTAACACTGTACAAACAAACACAACTTTATTAACACTGTACAAACACACAACTTTATTAACACTGTACAAACACAACTTTATTAACACTGTACAAACACAACTTTATTAACACTGTTTAACACTGTACAAACACACAACTTTATTAACACTGTACAAACACACAACTTTATTAACACTGTACAAACACACAACTTTATTAACACTGTACAGACACACAACTTTATTAACACTGTACAAACACACAACTTTATTAACACTGTACAAACACACAACTTTATTAACACTGTACAAAACACAACTTTATTAACACTGTACAAACACACAACTTTATTAACACTGTACAAACACAACTTTATTAACACTGTACAAACACATTTTTTTACACTGTACAACACACAACTTTATTAACACTGTACAAACACAACTTTATTATCACTGTACAAACACAACTTTATTAACACTGTACAAAACACAACTTTATTAACACTGTACAAACACACAACTTTATTAACACTGTACAAACACAACTTTATTAACACTGTACAAACACACAACTTTATTAACACTGTACAAACACAACTTTATTAACACTGTACAAACACACAACTTTATTAACACTGTACAAACACACAACTTTATTATCACTGTACAAACACAACTTTATTAACACTGTACAAACACAACTTTATTAACACTGTACAAACACACAACTTTATTAACACTGTACAAACACAACTTTATTAACACTGTACAAACACAACTTTATTAACACTGTACAAACACAACTTTATTATCACTGTACAAACACAACTTTATTAACACTGTACAAACACAACTTTATTAACACTGTACAAACACACAACTTTATTAACACTGTACAAACACAACTTTATTAACACTGTACAAACACAACTTTATTAACACTGTACAAACACACAACTTTATTAACACTGTACAAACACAACTTTATTAACACTGTACAAACACAACTTTATTAACACTGATCAAATACGACAGCGGTACCGAGGTGATTTATGGAGTTTCCAGATGGACTTGTTGCTAAAAGAATCTAACTGTTGTAAACGGTAATATTAGATGCTGCTAGCTTGTGTAGCTAACATTGTTCGTATTTGTGTTGCAGGAGCTGTTGGGATCCCTCTGGTCCTACTGGTGGAGGACTGGGATCTGTGTCGGTCTGTGAGGAGAACCACCGATGTGGTGATGCTGGTCACTATGTTCCTCTGGTTCTCCGCCGTCATCTGCTACCTGGTCCACTATGTCCGAAAGAACCAGGAGGACGCCCGCCGACACATGGAGTACCTCAAGTCTCTGCAGGGGCGCCAGGTGAAGGAGGACGGAGCATCCACCAGAGGAGACCAGGAGATCCTCAAGGACCCCCTACAACTTCCTCAAGGACCTCTAGAACTTCCTCAAGAGTTTGTGGAACATCCTCAAGGACCTCTAGGTTCTCCTCAAAGTCTACAGACCCACCTAAAGGACTTTCAGAACCTCTTCAAGGATAGCCAGGAATCCCTGAAGGACTCCAGGGAATATCTCCAAGAACCCATGTAACCTTTTCAGGGAACTTTAGAACTCCTGGACCCTCCTCAAGGATGTCTGGAACTTCCTCAAGGACCCCTAGGAAATCCCCCAAAGCCCAGAAGAGACCCTTTTCTTAAATACTTAAAGGCTCCTCTAACTTCCTCAGTAACTTCTGGAACATATTCAAGGTTCCTAAAACTCTTTCAAATACTACTGAAAGCTGTTCAAGGACTGTTGATGCTAACAGAGGCTAAAGCTAACACTAATTATTTATTAATTACAGTTAATATTATTGATTTTTGATTTTATTTAATCCATAAAATGTGAAGTTCCAATCAGAGTCTTCCTTATAGTTAAATTTGTTGTGAGCGAAACATACAACTTATTAATAATTTCTTTACTTGATTATTATTGTTAATTTCCTGCTTTTGTTTGTTGTTTCTGTTATTTGTTAAATTTTTTTGATAGTTCAGGACCAGAGTAGCAAATTATTGATTATTATTTTAATGTTCTTACAAAATATGTAATTTTTATTAACCTATATTACTGTGACTAAAAACATGGGACATCCCTAATGATTATTATTATTATTATTATTATCATTACAATAGGGACCGAGGACTGACCAGTGCACGGTCCCTATTGTAATGCAAGGAATTATTATTATTATTTTCTGCCTCTTCGACTGCATATTTGACCCCCGCAGCATGCTCGTAAAGTCAGGGAAAATTGCACAAAATTCAAATGTAGCGAAAATACCGGTATGACATTGTCCCCGTGCACTAAACTTCACATATTCTGTAACACTCCCACCCTGAACACTCTACAGTAAACTTCACATATTTGATAAGAGTCCCGCCCTGAACACGTCTTTGTGACAATGTTCAGATATGAGAGCGCCACCTACTGGCAGAGACAGTGGATGTAAACAGTAGAAAACTATTGTTATGAAACAAGTTATTCATGACAATTCTTAGTGATTTTAAAAATGTTCTTTACCTCAAATTTTAACGTGAAAATAAATTCTGGCTTGGTGTGTGATTAGTTTTGCACTGAAAATGCCAACATTAACTCATGGTCATAGTGCCCCCTACTGGCAACAGGAAGAATTGTTTTATACTGCTCCTTGTTGCAGGATGATTAGATCAGCTTTAATTGGTCAGAAGATGCTTTTAAAAATATAATACTCATAACTTCAGTGTACATGGTCCTATCTCAATGAAACTTCACATATTTTATAAGAGTCCCGCCCTGAACTTGTCTATGTGACAATATTCAGATATAGTGAGAGTGCCACCTACTGACAATAGGAAGTAAGCGCTGCGTGGCTATTTTGATCTGATTTACGTGAAATGTTCATGTTGTGGTCCGCATGTGTTATGATCGCACGTGACGCAGCCGCAGCACAGCCCGACACACACCGGATGCGAGGTCCCGTTCAATGCTGCTTTAATTATTATTATTATTATTATTACCTCCACCATATACTGTATATAGCATGTATATACTTTTGATCATCCTGATCAGTAATCAATACTCCCATTATTAAAGCATTAATCAACCTGATCAGCCTTCAGCAGTTAGCTAGTGTTTCTGTAGTGGAGACTAAACGTTAACAATGATCCATATCAGCAGTTTGAATCCAACTAAAAGCTCCCTGCACCAAACTCCCTTTAAGAAATATCACATTTTAACAATTCCTAACGTGTCTGTTTCTGTTACCTGTGATCATACAGAAGCTCAGGTGAGTGAGTGGCGCCCCCCAGTGGTCGTAATGATACTCACTCATTGTTCTGAAGTTATCAGCTCCTCAGCATTGGTTAATGTGTGTATTCTTACCATTTGAACCAAATAAATCCATAAAATCAACCCGATATCATCAATCAGATTCTTATTCTTGCAAAATCACATATTGATAATTTACAACCATAAGCTGTCTTTTTTATTTATTGAAAATGAGATTAAACAATAAATCACATCATTTCATATTTTAAACACGTGTTTGTAAAAGGTTTTTAGGATTTAAATTCAACAAACAGGAACATTTGATTTTCTCTGTATCAGATTTATTTGTACTTTCAGAATCAGTCCAAGACTCATTGTTAATATGAATGTTTTAATCAACCTCTTGTGTTTGTTTGTTTGTTTGTTGTCACTATTTTATAGTGAAAGTCTGTAAACAGCATTTATGAGCTAAAATATCTTGGTTGTTCAAAATGTTATTTCAATAACAAACAACAAAAAAACAAAAAGAACTGGCTGAATTTATTTATTTATCTTAAACACATTAATAGATCTGCTCTACAGCTAATATAGTGTTAAAGGGGACATATTATGGATTGGATTATGTATTGGGACTCTGGAGGCCTATCAGCAACGTGTCCGGTAGGTGGCGGTATGCACGGTAAAAGTTGCAATCTGCCCGAAAATTAAAGGAGAAGAAGAAGCATGAGCAGCTCCCAGCATGCTTTGCGCAGCGGAATAGTTGCCAGTCATTGTACGGTCAGGCTCAGTGACGGTGCACTCTTCAGCCTCTCCGACCGAGCTTTACCGGGACTGTGAACGGTTTCTGCCCCCACACCATGAAGGAGACTGCGGCCAAGCGGCGGGACAAAGCGGGAGGCCGGGACCGGGACTCCAAAGCCGAGAAGCCGAAGGACCCGGAGCCGCAGGACGTGGAGATGCCGGAGGAGGACGCAGCTAACGCGGCTAAACAGCCCAAAGAGCTGGACAGCCTGACCCTGGACGGTAAACGCACTTTATATGCACACATTACCGGTAAAAGCACCGGGAGCTACCGAGCTACCGGAGCTACCGAGCTACCGGAGCTACCGAACTACCGGAGCTACCGGAGCTAACCGAGCTACCGGAGCTAACCGAGCTACCGGAGCTACCGGAGCTAACCGAGCTACCGGAGCTACCGGAGCTAACCGAGCTACCGGAGCTACCGAACTACCGGAGCTACCGGAGCTAACCGAGCTACCGGAGCTACCGGGCTAACCGAGCTACCGGAGCTACCGAACTACCGAGCTACCGGAGCTAACCGAACTACCGGAGCTACCGGAGCTAACCGAGCTACCGGAGCTAACCGAACTACCGGAGCTACCGGAGCTACCGGAGCTAACCGAACTACCGAGCTACCGGAGCTACCGGAGCTACCGGAGCTAACCGAACTACCGAGCTACCGGAGCTAACCGGAGCTACCGGAGCTACCGGAGCCTGAAGATAACGTTCATCCAGCGGTTGTTAGCCTGTTAGCAGCAGCGGCTGTGATTCAGAGTTCAGATAGAAATGAACCGATAATTAATTCTCTAATAAACTTTAACTATTTTATCAATAAAACAATCAATAACATTATGTTTTTAATAGGAAAGTAGTTTAAAAACAAAGAACAACTATTTAATGCCGATAATCATCCTGATCAGTAATCAATACTCCCATTATTAAAGCATCAATCAACCTGATCAGCCTTCAGCAGTTAGCTAGTGTTTCTGTAGTGGAGACTAAACGTTAACAATGATCCATATCAGCAGTTTGAATCCAACTAAAAGCTCCCTGCACCAAACTCCCTTTAAGAAATATCACATTTTAACAATTCCTAACGTGTTCGTAACAACACGTAACTCTAGAAACACGAGCTAAAGGCCGTCATATGTCCACAGTCTGACTGTCAATACAGGATCAATATCATCCATAAAGATACAGTGTATACTGATCAATATCATCCATAAAGACACAGTGTATACTGATCAATATCATCCATAAAGATACAGTGTATACTGATCAATAATCAATAAAGATACAGTGCATACTGATCAATAATCAATAAAGATACAGTGTATTCTGATCAATAACCCCTCCTCCTCCTCCTCCCTCAGACATTAAGGAGCATGTGAAGCAGATAGAGAAGGCGGTGTCGGGGAAGGAGCCTCGCTTCGTCCTCCGTGCTCTCCGGGCGCTGCCGTCCACCAGCCGCCGTCTCAACACCAACGTCATCCATAAAGCCATCAACGGCTTCTTCACCAACAACACGGCCACCAGGGACTTCCTGCTCGGCTTCCTGGAGGAGGTCGGTAGTTTCACACGTTCTCTCAAATACACCAGAGTCCATATATATTTTCCACAAGTGAGTTCAGAGGAGCTGCAGTGGTGTTTACCTCTGGTTCTGAGTTTAATTCAGTCTGTTAAATGGGCCAAAAACACACAGAGGTTTGGTTGAGCCGACAGAGAATGTTCTGATGGTCCAATGTCTAAACACAAACAGCTCAACTGACAATGAGGAGTCACAGCCAGTATTGACTCTGTCTGTCTCTCTGTCTGTCTCTCTGTCTGTCTGTCTGTCAGCCGATGGAGATGGCCGACGGAGACGTCCAGTTTCGTCCGAGGACGGGGAAAGCTGCGTCAGCTCCTCTGCTGCCGGAGGTCGAGGCTTACCTTCAGCTGCTGCTGGTGGTTCACCTGACCAACAACAAGAGATACACCGAGGTCTGTCTGCCTTCCTGTCTGCCTTCCTGTCTGCCTTCCTGTCTGCCTTCCTGTCTGCCTGTATTTTAGTAGAATAGTTCCCATCATGGATCCTGCAGTCTAAACATGAAGTCCTTCCTCAGTTTCAAAATAAAGTTCTCAGTCAGGTTGAAACACTAAAATGTCTCAGTGAGTAAAAGACCTTAATGTGTAATGTGTGTTTAATCTGTTGCTAGGTAACATCTGTAGTGCCGTCCAATCAGGAGGTCAGGTGTAAACAGGAAGTCACTGAAGCATCACAAACTTCCAAAATAAGAGAAACATCTTGGTGTGAATACTAACAGATGGTCGAGGTGTGCAGACAGTTTATAAAGAGAAATATCTGATGCTAAGCTAACTGACGTCAGATGTTGTTAGCATAAAGTCTGATTGTCAGTCTATTGATTTAAATATCAACAACAGATTGGAAACTGGGCTCATTCAGTCTCCATGGTGGTGATGATGATATTGTATTGTACTGTATTTTTTATACCTCTTTTATTTCTATATATATATATATATATATATATATATATATATATATCTATATATTTATTTATTCCCTATAAGTGTTTGTGGGCTGCTGGAAATCCAATTTCCTTGCGGGAGTTATCCCGAAGGGATCAATAAAGAGAAGTCTAAAGCGCCCAGTATACTCGACACATTTGAGCTGTCGTGCAACAACGTGACGTCAAAATGATGTCAATCTCGCTGGCGCGCCAGGATTTTGGCCCGGTTGCGCGACGTCGCGTACCACTAGTTTTTTTTCAGCTGCACGCGACAAACAGGAAGATGGACGATCTGTACGATCCTTCAATAAAGGAGCACAGAGATGCCCAGAGTTGCCAGCCATGAATGTTGGAACAGAGGAGGACATATGCTGGAAAATTTGGAAGAACCTCCGCGACCGATTTGGGGGGAAAAAAATAAATAAATAATATATATATATATATATATATATATATATCTTCTTCTAGTGCGTAGAAAGAGCAAAGTCGGTAGCCTTTCCTCACTAGCGACACCTCTGTTCAGGACGAGACTGCAACTAGTGCCGCGACCACCATGCGCAAGTATAGATAGTCGCGGCGTCGCGCGATAGTTGGTCTGCGTCGAGTCTGATGATGGTGATAATGATGACAATGACGATGGTGACAATGACGATGGTGACAATGATGATGTGACTGTGCCTCAGGCTCAGAAGGTGTCAGACGACCTGCTGCAGAAGATCGGCTCTAAGAACCGCAGAGCTCTGGATCTGGTTGCTGCCAAGTGTTACTATTACCACGCCAGAGTGTACGAGTTCCTCAACCAGTTCGACACCATGCGCAGGTACACACACACACACACACACACACACACACACACACACACACACACACACACACACACACACACACACACACACACACACACTCTCACAATGAGCCTCTCTGTGTTCAGCTTCCTCCACACTCGCCTGCGTACTGCGACTCTGCGTCACGACGCCGACGGTCAGGCCGTCCTCCTCAACCTGCTGCTGAGGAACTACCTGCACTTCAACCTGTACGACCAGGCCGAGAAACTCGTGTCCAAGTCTGTGTTTCCTGAACTGGCCAACAACAACGAGTGGGCCCGATACCTGTACTACACAGGTGAGCTACCTGAGAGCTGTACCTGCACAGCCCAGTGCCCTGTGTTTACTTCTGTGTTTACTTCTGTGTTTACTCCTGTGTTTACTCCTGTGTTTACTCCTGTGTTTGCCCCCTGCAGGTCGTATTAAGGCCATCCAGTTGGAGTACTCAGAGGCTCGTAGGACTCTGACTAATGCTCTGAGGAAAGCTCCTCAACACACTGCAGTGGGCTTCAAACAGACGGTCAGTTACACTCTGATGCACAGTATATTAATGTATATATTACTGTTATATATATTAATATCATACATGAATACAGTAATATATACATTAATATAAACATTAATATACATTAATACACTGTAATATACAGTAATATATAATCTGAATCAGAATTTTGTTTATTGCCAAGTAGGCTTTTACGCCTACGAGGCATGTGACCTGGTGCAGTTGGTGCATAAAATATACACATATACAAATAAACAATTATTCAAATCTCACAAAAATCACACAGAAAAATAAAGTACTTTCAAAAAATAAATAGATAAAGATAAGAAGAGAAAGAGAAAGGTGTGCAGAAGAACGTGGGTGCATTAATGTAATGCATACTTTATATACAGGGTGGGTATAAGAGTCAATGACAGTGGGAGTTGTTAAGGAGGCCAGCTGCAGACGGGAAGAAACTGTTTTTATGGCGAGACGTTTTAGTCCTGATGGACCGCAGCCTCCTGCCAGAGGGAAGTATCTCAAAGAGATTGTGACCGGGGTGGGAGGGGTCAGCCACAATCTTACCTGCA